GGGGGGAGGGGGGATGGTGGTGGTGGCTAGTGGCCCTCAGTTAAGAAACACCTGGCTATAAAAAATGCATTCCAGAGTGAAGGCAAGGCAGTCATTCAAAATTGTAATCAAAACCAAATTAATGGAATGAAAAAAAAAATTTCAAAAACTAAGGCTTGTGTGTAAGTTTGAAATTCCTACAAAGAGTTTAAATATGAGATGAGTTTTAAAAACCTAGGAACTCAATGTTGTTATTCTCTTCTTTCTTCTCTTTTTAAAAAATAACACATGATTGGGGTTTGATGCCAAAGAAATATTTTGCCTTTACAGGAGTAAATGAAGTTGAGTGGACTCCTCCGAGGACTGCTGACTGAAGAAGAACTAGAAATCAGTGATCACAGCGCTTTCCCCAAAAGTCTCATGAAGTTTTGCTCTAGTCCAATGAATTTCTGCAATTAATTAAATAAACTTTATTTTGTTTTAAGTCTAAATGGAAAATCGAGCCCATTATCTTGGAATACTTATATTGCAGAGTAGATAAACTAATTCCTTCTTTATGTGTGTTAAGACAGAGTGAAAAACTAGACGAAACCAGTATGAAAATCTAAGAGATGCCCATCATCTCTTAAGGTTCTTAGTTCATCAATATGATACTTAATCTCATTAAGTGCATCGTACTCATCGCTGAGATCCTGCTTACAGACTTGACTCTCACACCCCATTATAAATTGCTGTAGGCTAAGAAATGTGTCGTAGCCATTTTTGTTTCCTAGCTCCTACCATACCTGACTTGACATAGAGCAGAGGCTCAATAAATTTGTACCGAAGTAAATGATGTCTAACACGTGAATACATTTCCCATGATTTCTTTTCTGGGTATTGCAGAAGTGAAATTGCCCGATCATTTGCTCTTCTTCAGTTTTACCCAGAAATTCAGTCAGGTTGCTCTTTTTCCGTGAACTCCCTTTTCAAACCCTTTGCCCATTTTCTGTTGGAGTATTTGTTTTTTTCTTATCCGTAGTTTTTGGTGGTTTATATATTCTGAATGCTATTCGTTTGTCTATTGTCTCTGCAAATGTTTTCTTCCAATCTGTCACTTGCTTTTTAACTTTGTACGTTTTATCGTACAGCATTTATTTTTTAATGTAAACCAAATTATCATTTCTGTTATATATCAAGAGTGACTATCTCCTATAAACAATGGCTTTTCTAAGGACATAAATCCCTCCTCGGGCTTGAGATAAACCACTGCATTTAACTTCCGTAGATGGATGTTAAAATGGGACTCTTTTGGTTTCGCTTTTGTCTGAAGACCAAAACGGTGTCAGCTGCTCCCATGCCAAAGGATGACACTAGATCCCATAGCGCCGGCAAAGAAATTGTTTCTAAAGGGTTGACCAGGTTAGAAGCCAGGAAAGGATTTCTTCCAAGAAAATGATCAGTGGGTTGAGCCCTACTTCCTACCACCCAGTGGGAAGGACGTGGAGCTCAGCCCCACCTTCCTCGAGCTGGCGAGTGGGGCTGGAAAGGTTCGGTACTGTCCCTGTCTTAGGGGGAGGCAGTGGTAGACTGGGGCAGAAAGAGAAGTCCACAGGTTGAAACAGCCCATGGCAGCAGATCAAAAGGTGGCGTGAGAGGCGTAGCTAAACTCCCACAGAAACTAGGTCAGAGGTCAAAGGTATGTGTTGCCTAGAGACCAGCTGTGGAAGCAGCGGGACTGTATAAAAGCGATGTCACCCGGAGGACTTCTGCCAAGAGTGTGGGGCCTTGGCTAGAGACGGTGGATGGTGCCATCGGATACCAAAGCTTTACCCCTGGAGGGGCCGGAAGCAGCCTATAAATGCAAGGTGAGGGCGGACAGAGAAGAACCACCTTCCCCTCCCCCTCCCACTGCCACTGCCACTGCCGGCCAGAGGCAGGCCCGACGTGGGGGAATGAGAAGTTTAATTTTGAGTGAAATCTGGAGTTTACTTTTCATATAAGACTGGATACATATATTTTTTTTTATTAAAATGAGATGATTCTTATGACTGAAAGTGACTAGAGGAAAGTTTTAAAAAATATTTGCAGAGGAACCAGACATTAATTGGGAGTGAGAGGCGTCTCCTATAAATTTCGTCCAAGTGCAATAGCGAAGCAGCCCCATGGGCAGGCTGGACCGGGCAGTGCGCGAAAGAGCCTCGGCTCCCGATGGTGCCCGTTCCCGCTCTCCAACACCCCGGCTTTGCTCCCACGTGTCCCATGGAGCTACAGCATCAATCTACCACCTTCGTGAGAGTCTGAAACCACGGATCTTGAGTCCTGTGCTCTACACATATTCATGTAAATCATTGCTGTCACATAGTCCTACACAATGGAGTGTGATCTGTACAAACTGAAAGTAATACAAGAATAGTTATTTGTACACCCATGTTCAAATAGTATTATTTGCAATAACCAAAAGGTGGATGCAGCCCAAGTGTCCACTGACACACAATGGAGTATTATACAACCTGAACAAGGAAATCGGAACACATGTGACAACATGGGTGAACCTTGAAGACACGCTAAGTGAAATAAACCAGTCACAAAAGAACAAATACTAATATGAAGTATCTAGAATAGGCAAAGTCAAGAGACAGACAGTGGAAGGGTGGCTGTCAGGGGCTGGGAGGATGGGGAATGGGTGCAGAGTTTCACCGACGAAGAGAGTTCTGGAGACGGATGGTCGCAACAGGTGCACAACAATGTGAATAGATTTCTGAACTGTGAAGTGCCAATGCACCACTGAACGGTACACTTAAAAATGGTTAAGATGGCAAACTTTATGTTTTATGTATTTTACCACAGTTTAAAAAATCGTTAACCAAAAAAAAAAAAAATTAATGTAATTTAAAAAGGAAATTTAACCTTCATTAGGCATGTACCAATAATAGGAGGAATAATAATGAGGGATGGCTAAGAATGATTGAGTCTTACCGTGCATCGGCTACTGTGACAGGACTCAACACGCATGGTCTCATTTAATCCTCATTGTGAATTTATTAAAAGCCCTATTTTATAGATAAGGAAACTGAAGCACAAAAGAGTAACTTGCCCAAAGCTACACAATTTGAAAGGAGTGTAGATACTCTGACTCCAGCACTAATCCTCAAAGTGATCTGGCAGTAGACAGATTTCAGTGCCACTTAATTCTCCCTCACCTTCGGCCTCTGAGACTAGAAGAACTCATGGAAATCCTCAGCAGAATCACTTACACGCGCACAGTTCTCTATGGTGTACAAAGCGCATTTGATGCTACCCATTAAAATACTGCAACACAGACGATTTCCCTTTTATCCAAAGAGGAAACTGAGCCCTAAAGAAGTTAAGTCACTTGCCTCAAGTCGGATGACCAGTTCGGGTTCCGATCCCTCAGCTTTCACCTCTGGGTCCATGGCTACCCATCCACATCCAATTCCCCATCTTCCAACTTTGCATTTTTCAGATGACAAGGTCTACAGGGACATGCCCCAAAAGGCTAATAACTTGTCCATGGTCACAAAGAGAGCTGGTATGTTTTACACGTATCATCGGCGTATACCTTTCAAGATGCTTCGCCACGTTAGCACATATTCCACAAATACGCATTGACAGAGTAAGGACTGGTACAAAGGCGGAAAGCTCCATCAGCATAAAATAGAGTGCTTTCTTCTAGAAGCTTTTTGTTTGTGGAGTCAATGCTTTAGAATCACCACTTCACATAAGCACCCAACTTTTTAGTGCCCGCCTTTTACCCAGCCTCCTTGTCCATTAGCTCTACAATTATGCTGTGATCAATTGAGCAAATCCATTTAGACAGCATGTCTAGCCACTCTCGTAGTGGATTTGCTAGCGAAGCAGCAAAGTGCAAGAGACCTGTATATAACACAGACCTTTGAGGAACGAACTACATAAATTCTTATTCGATCCTGACTGAGTGTCTGGAAGGAATTCTTAAAGCAGTCTCAATAGCCCGGAGTGAACTTCAAAATGGCTGAATGTAAAAGTGCAGAGCTCAGTTCTTTTGTCCAGCAGAACCCTTTCTAGTAAAATAACTCATTTCTGAGTTTGACACGAGGCTGATGATTGGTGTGAAAGGAGCAATGACAGGCGCTCAGGTGGTGAATGGAAATTACCTGTCCGCAGGTGGAAATCTGCCAGTGTAATCCCTCAGGTGTCAAATTAAGGTTTTATTCCATGAGCCCTTGTTTGTTTTTTTCTCACAGCCTTAATATCATGGGTGGGATTGGGGGGCTGGCACCCACTGAGTAAACTCTGTGGCAGGTGCCCTCTACTTTCTCTGCTAGAATATCCAACAAAAGCCAAAGAGAAACAGGTATTGCCAAGGAGAGCTTGACAGCAGCAAAAAGTCTGAAGCCCTACAAATTAAAATGTCAAGACCATTGGCTGGCACTCCCCGCCCCCCCGCCCCCAACGCCTCTAATCAGACCACAAAAACATGCCTGGATTCAAGGAAGAGCAAATTGATCTCATTTCAAGTTATTAGTACTATTACTGCTAATAATGGCTAACATTGAATGGGCACTTTTTCCTGTTAGATTATTTATGCCGTTTGACAGTACGATCCAGGAAGGCAGGGGTGGGTCTGTTTTGCTCACCACTATATCCCCAGCTGTGAGTCGCATGTCTTGTACATAGTAGGTGTCCAGTAAATATTTGCTGAATGCATAATCTCATTTAGTTTTCATGATAACCCTATAAGGTTCAATACGATATTGTGATCACCAGTTTACAGATGAGAAAACTGAGGCTTGGAGGGCATTAAAATGTGTCCGAGGTTGCTCAGCCAGCAGGTATCGGAGCTTATATTCAAACCCATATGTACTTGACATCAGAATCTGTGGTTCAGCTGCCATATCGTTTCACTAGCACGGCCCAGGGTACGGGGCTTTTCCAGTGCTGAGACTATACGCAAGACAGTGTGCCTACAACTCTTCCAGTCATCGCCTTTTAGACTTATCCAAGGTTCTCCAATAGCTAAGTGAAAAGGAATGACTTACCTACGAATCCTTCTTCACCAACTAGTTTCAGGGCGATTTTATCAGCCAACACCGAAGAGTTGCCGTGGGCGATGTTTGCGAAGGGGCCGGCGTGCACAAACACGGGTGTGCCCTGGGAAGCAGAAGAACAAACTGAAACCCCAAAAGCCAGATGGAAGACCGATCCCGGGCAAACGAGGTGGGACAAGGCTGTTGGGTGTTTAAAGACCCACAGAAGCCATTCCGCTTTTCTCAATACTGCAAATTTAATGCACGAATTTTCTCAAAGAAAGTTAAGATACCTGACTCGTCCCAAGGACTCCTCCAAATACCAGTGTGTTCTAGAACAGTGCTATTCTACGTTTAACGCTGAACCAGGGAGAAAAGCTCTAAGAACCAGTTGTTTCCCGTGATAATTTTGATAAGCCGCTGTGTTAGCTGCCTCAGGGACCATGAAATAAACTCTTGACCTTATTTTGTATCACTCCGCATTATATTTTTTAAAAGAATGGAATTAGACCCCGATAGTCTAAGAGGCTTATTTATTTATTTATTTTATTTTTTTCATTAAGAACTTAATCGGTTCAAGAAAAATCTAAAGCAAGCAAAAGAATCAATTCAATTCATGGTAGGTCAACTACATAAGGATATTATATTTGCGATAATAAGTAAATGTAAAGTTTTTATATTCACAGTAATAAGCTTGTCATTCTGATTTTTAAAGATTCGGTTTAAGACTTTCTCATTGTTTAATTGTCTTACATTGTTAAAAATATGATAACTATTACATTTTAATTCTTTGACAAAAATCTGTCTATATATTCATTTTTAATGCCATTTCTATACTTCTTCTTTTCCTTTATCAATGAGAACAGACTGTAGCCCTATGTAAAAGAACTTATCCACATGCAGTAAAGCATTCAGGTTTTATTCAGAGGCCGGCCAGGGCCACTGGGGTTCGTGCCTGTGAAGCCTTGGCTCCACCTGTGAAAACACGGCTGTCCTTTCCCTGACATGGAGGGAGAGAGAGTGACGTGGGGGGTGGGCTGGAAGCCATGCAAATCCTAGGAACCATGATGAGCTGGCCATTGGCTGAATATGTTTCAAAGATGAGAAAGCCTGACAAAAGCGGGAAGAAAGGAAGTGAGAGAAAAATCATCTCAGAATGAAAAAGAGAGTGTATCAAAGCCACTCTGTGAGTTCTCTGTTTACTTTTTCTCCCAGAGTCATCAAGAGGGACAATAACGCCGTCCTGAGAAGGTCATACAAATGTACGTGGAAATGAAACTGGGGCTGAAACCCAAACACACACATTTATGGGTATGCATAAATGTATGTTTAGTGTCTAGAGCTCTACGCGTCTGCCTGTCTCTGATTTATCACGTCTAGTCTGATACGCCTTTCAGGTGCTCTGAAGAAAATACTATCCAGAAGACAAAGCCTCCATCACTTCCTACCCTCGCCAGTGCTAGAATGTGGCGGCCTGTGGTAAGCCAGCAGAGTTGGGAAAAACTTAGCGAGGATAAGGTCATGGGCTCCATCCCGGGTGGGCAGCTGCCTTCGCTCCTCTACAAACTGCGACCCTTGCGGTAGCCATCTGTCTGAGAAGCTCCGGGCACTGGTCTCCAGGGGGGACAGGTGACAGAGTCTGGCTGGATCAGCATAAACACATTGCTATTCTTGACATAACCACTCTAAGGACTAGGTCAGCAGCATTTTAGTTTTAATGTAAAATGAAATCAAAGGCCACACAGCATGTTAATCACTAAAGCAGTGTTTGAGCCCTGGTTTTGCAGTCTGAATGGAAAAATTAGTAGAAATCGTTAGACATTTAAACAGACATACATATGCTCAGACACTCAACTAGTGTTTGTAGCTACATGACGCAGTACACAGTTAAATACTTTGATTAAAAAATTCTATGACTAATCCAAAGATATAAAACTATCTAGCACGAGTCTGGTATTTTATTTTATATGCAGAACTCTTAGGAAAATAATGCAGGAACTATTTTAGTTTCTCATGATTTCAAAGCTATGGATATTCTCCAGAAGGGACTTTTCAAACTTTTCATAAGATTAACACCTCAATTACCCATTTGCTTACTTGCTCTACAAGACCTTTGTCCAAAAGAACTTTCTGCAATGCAGAAAATATTCTACATCTGCACCATCCAATACAATAGCCACTATCCACATGAGGCTACTCAGTCCTTAAAAGGTAGCTAGTAAAATTTTTTTAAAAAAGAAATAACTATATAAATAGAAATAGAGCTGGTATGACTACGGAACTGAATTGGAAATTTTATTTAATTTAAGCTGATTTATATCAAAATAACCATGTGACCAGCAGCTACCATATTGGACAGTGCCCTGTAGCAAAGGGGTGTTGCGTAACCATCCCACGGCATAATGTTAAGGCCTCTCCTCCGAAGTCTTTCACAGGGAAGTCTGCAACCTGGTTACACATGAGAGTCACCCAGGGTCCCTAGGCCTTATGTCCCGGACATTCTGGTCCATTTGGTCTGGGGGGGAACCCGGTATCGGTGTTTTTAAATTTTTCTTGGTGATTCGAATGTACATCCAGGATTGAAAACTGCCGGTCTCCTGGCAACTTGGAGTGATGTCACCCTAGATAAGCTCCGATGAGCTGAACAATCGAGCATATTTGGACCTGAGCACAAAGACACAATCTGTATGCTAATCAGAGATTTTTAGATTATTTGCTGATTTAGATTTCCAGTGTGCCACTGAATAGCCAGATTAACCTCAAATGAACATTTAGGACCCAGCTGGCAGAGTTCATATATGCAGATATCTTAACTAAATGCTATGTTTATTTTTTAAACAATGCCCATCGTCTGTTAAAGTAATGACAAAATGGCCTAGATGGATACAAATGTGAGCAGCCCAGCCAATTAATTCATTAACTAAATGGAAATTCGACTTTTAGAATGGGATATATCTTAAAGGTGTAAGTAATTTTTAACTTAAGAAAGGTAATTATTTAGAACAATAAGCTCTTAACTGTAAAATTAATAATGTGTTCATTTTTGTGTTATGAAGACACAATACCACATCTTTATATATTTCTCTCTCACTCAGTTATTTATTCAACAAATATGTACTGTTAGGAGTAATGTAGTAAAAATAATGAGTATTCATTTAATCATTCAACAAGTGTTTACTGAGCATCTATCGCGTGCTCACTTGCAGGAGCCAGGGACACGGCGGGGAACAGGATGGAACAGGTCCTGCCTCATGCAGGAAACACGCAGAGCAATAGGACTCTAGGATAATACTCTGTGCCATGCAGAGAGTGACACGAGGTGACTGGGGCTGCGGTGGCCAAGTGGCCTCGGAGGCTTGTCTGGGGAGCTGACGTTGAAATGACATGAGACCTGAGGGAAGGGATGGAACCTGTGAAATGAGGAAGAGTGTCCAGGGCAGTGCTGTCTGCAGGGAGCAGGCCTGGGCAGGGAGGGAGTCAGGGGTGAGGAATGAGGTGGGGATGGGGCAGTGGCCAAATCCTGTGGGATTTCCAGCCCAGAGTGAGGACAAGGGTGGACCACCAAGAACTCTAAGAGGAAGACAGCAGGGCTTTGAGACCACTGCCTGCTCCGTGGAGAAGGGTTTTGGAAGAAAGAGTGGAGGGCGCGAGACCAGTCGGGAGGCTGCTTGGTGGCAGGTGGGCATGCTGGTGCTGAGGCGGGGGGTGGAGGGGCAGGGCGGGGAAAGGAGAGGGGGTCTTTAGGCCAATCTCTAGGTTGTTGGCTTAAACCACTTGGTCACTAGATTTGGGGGGATGAGCAAGTTGGGAGGAAGTAGGAGGTTGCTGGGAATCAAAGATCCTATTTTACACATACGTTTAAAGTGCCTTTTACCCACCCAAGCGGCTTTTGGTAATTATACCTACAAGTCTGAAACCCTAAGGTCAGGAGATTCAGAACCAGAGTTTGGGGGTCATCACATGGCAGGGACTGGGGGAGAGCACAGCTGGGGAAGTGAGGGCTCAGGGCCTCCAACATTGAGGGGCTGAGCTGAGAGGCCAGTAAAGGAGACGGAGCAGAGGCCACCGAGAAGGTCCAGGAGAATGAGGTGTCGCAGAAACCAGAAGCAGCAAGTGCTCCAGAAGGAAGAAACGTCAGCTGCGTCAGACCCCGCTGAGAGGTCACACAGGTAAGGACAGAGAAAGGAAGACTTGAGTGCAGGGAGGGATAGGTGACCTCGACAGGAACAGACAGCAGAAGTGGGACCTGAGGTCAGGCTGACGTCACTGAGAGGGTGAGAGGTGAGGCAGTGGAGACCCCAGTTACAGACGGTACGTCCGACTGTGAGAGGAGCAGAGGGACAGAGCAGCGGCCGGATGGGGACACGGGGTCACCGGAGGGTTTGGAACTGTTTTAAGAAAGCTTAAATGTGAGCGTGTTCGCACGCTGATGGGATTTTCTCAACATTTACAGTGTTTTTTTTTTTTCAAAAAACTGAAAACCTAATGATTATGAGAGGCTAAATTAAAAAACAGGGCAAAAAATATGTAAATATGGTTATACGACTTACTGACATATTAGATACGTTGAGTTTCTAAGTTTCTATTCTGGTTAATTAGTACGTCATTAGCCAAGATATGAATTATATTAAAGTATCTATAAATACACTTTCAACTTTTTTGGATGACCAAGTAGTACTTCTGATGCTCCTCGTGGGCTCATATTGGCTGGAAATGCTCACGTTGTGTGGGGTACACGAGCAATCCAATAACGCAAACTGTCAACGACTTCTGTAAAAGGGAAATCACTTACTTCTAGGGTCTGCATCAGATTTGGTTTTATCGCATCTTTCATCAAAACTGTCAAAGCACCTGTCACCCCCTAAAAAAGAGAGAACAAAACAAAACACTTATTTAATCCCTATCAAAATATCAATGGGATTTTTCAAAGAACTAGAACAAATATTCTTAAAATTTATATGAAACAACAAAAAAGACCCAAATAGACAAAGAAATCTTAAGGGAAAAAAAAAACAAAGCTGGAGGTATCAGTAACTTGCTTCCTGATTTCCGACTGTACTACAAAGCTATAGTAATCAAACCTATATGGGACTGGGGCAGAAACAGACACATAGATTAATGGAACAGAGCAGAGAGCCCCGAAACAAAGCCATGCTTATATGGTCAATCTACGGAAGAGGCAAGAATATAAGCAAGAACAAACAATGGAGGAAAGACAGTTTCTTCAACAAATGCTGAAAAGATGAAACTAGACCACTTTCTGACACCATATACAAATATAAACTCAAAATGGATTAAAGACTTAAATGTAAGACCTGAAACCATAAAGCTCCCAGAAGAAAACGTAGGCAGTAAACCCTCTGACACTGCTCTTAGCAACGTTTTTTTTTTGGATATGTCTCCTCGGGTAAGGGCAACAAAAGAACAAATTAACAAATGGGACTCTATCAAACTGAAAATCTGCACAGCAGAAGAAACTATCAACAAGACGAAAAAGTGATCTGCTGAACGGGAGAAGATATTTGCAAAAGATGTATCAGATAAGGAATTAATATCCAAAATATACATATTAAAAATATATAGAGAGATCCACATCAAAAAACAAACAGTCCAGAGGATCCAAATAGACATTTTGCCAACAGGCACATGAAAAGATGCTCAATGTCACTCATCATCGGGGGATGCAAATCAAAACCACAAGATATTACCTAACTCCTGTCAGAATGTCTATTATCAAAGACAACAAATAACAAGTGTCGGTGAGGATGTGGAGAAAAGGGAACCCTGGTGCATTGTTGGTGGGAATATAAATTGGTGTAGCCACTATGGCCATTCCCCCCAAAAACTAAAAATAGAACTACCATATGATATAGCAATTTCACTTCTGGGTATTTATTCAAAGAAAATGAAAACTCTAATTTGAAAAGATATACGTCTCCCTACGTTCATTGCAGCATTACTAGTAATAACAAGATATACAAGGAACCTAAGTTTCCATTGATAGATGAATGGATAGAGAAGATATAGTATATATACACGATGGAATATTACTCAGCCATAAAAAAGAATGAAATCTTGCCATTTGCTACAACGTGGATGGACCTAGAGAGTATTATGCTAAGTGAAATCAGTATGACAGAGAATAACGATTACCATATGATTTCACTTGTATGTGGAGTCTAAAACACAAAACAAATGAACAAAGAAAACAAAACAGAAACAAACTCACAGATACCGAGAAGAAACATGGTTGCCAGACCAGGGACAGGGGTATGGCTGGGTGTAAAAAGGGAAGAGGATTAAAAAGTACAAACTTCCAGTTATAAAATAAGTCACGGGGATGTAATGTACAGCATAAGGAAAAAGAGTCACTAATAAGTATGTATGGAATAAGCATGTACGGTGACAGATGGTTACGAGATTTATTGTGGTGATCACGAGGTACATAAATGTTGAATCACCATGCTGTACACCTGAAACTAATATCCCGCATGTCAACTATAATTAAAAATAAATTAAAAAAATATTTTTGCCCATAAAAAAATAATACACTTATTTAGATTACTGGCAAAAGAGTATCTGGCCGTTTCTCACTGGGCCCCCCAGGCTCCTCTCCCCTCTGCGTGACATGTGACAGAGCACTGCCACCTCTGCCCATCTCTTCCCACCTGAATGGATGCCAGCCATCTGCAAGGCGAAGAGTGATGAGGAAGTAGTAGTCATTGCCTTTTTTCCCCAAAACCTTCTTTAAGGGTGTTTAAGAGGCTTGCCAGAGAGCAGACTTTTCGGTCCGCCTACAAGTGTTTTCTGGCAATTGTGACTGTTAAATTTTCATTACCAGAGATTTTACTACTGCCTGAAGAAATGAGAGGAAGAACTGAAACGCGGCTGTTTATCAAGTGGGAGTGGGGAGAGATAAAAAGGAACTTTCTAAAAGCACCCATTCTGGTTTCCCACCCTCTCTCAACCTGCCATCCCACAGGTAGAGAAGGCACTTGAGAAAAACTGGGGCATTTGAGAGGTTCTCGCTTTCTGGGTCCCATGTCATCTGTCTGCCTAGAGCGGCACGCCACTAATCTTAACAGATCAGGTGGCGGAATCTCTAGAGAATCTTCATCTCTCCAAAGTACATTAGTTTATTATTTTCTTCCTCTACTTCTGTCATTAATGATGTCAAATGTTTCTCTTATGTGATCGATTACTATTTCTACACTTAATCACTTAAGGTTTATAAGAAAATCCAATTTAGCTTCTACTTGACTGTACAAAATAGACATTGCATGAAAGGTAACCTACCTATTATAGATATATTAAGATCTTTTACTGTGAACGCTGCTGGACAGGAAGGGCTCAAAGAAATTAGTTCTCTTTTCATAACCCAGAGCATGTGGAAGAGTAGTTTGCCTGCTTGTCTGCACACTGTCCTCGCTTATACTTTCCAGTCAAATAAACTAGAGGAGGAAGGAAACTGGATGTTTCTGATGGATTGTCTCAGGTAGGTTACCACCTGCCTGGCGTTCCATGCCACATCTTCTCCTTTGTTGCTCCTCACTGTTACACGGACTGTCACTGAACCCATGCAAAAAAAACACTACATCATCGATGGCAACTCTGGGGCTATCACGTCCACTATAAACTATGTCACCCATTCCACATCCCAAGTCCACACCTGGGAGAGGTTGGGCATATTCATCCAGGGTACAGCAGAATCAATCATCTTATAAAAAACCTCAGGAGGCCGTCTGTTCCGATTCTCAATGCGTTATATAAATTTTTTTGACCAAATCAAAAAGAAACTATAAAGAAGTAAAAAGAAAAGACAGATGCCCCTAAAGTCCTCCCTTAATTTTCTGTGGAAGACCAACTACTGATAGCTCCAACTTGGTAAAACACAATCTGTAGAGATTAGGTACTTTTGCCAGGAAGAAACATAACGGATAACTAAAAAGAGAGACTTTGAGTTTGTTCTGGGCCAAGATTTTTATCACACCAAAAAAATAGAAGTTTGGGGAAATAATATTTGAGGATTAAGTTTCAAATTACCCCTGCTACATATTTATTGGCACCTAAGGTTAATAGGATACGGAAAAATATATTTATGAAGAAACTGTAATATGTCAGTTGAGATAAAAATGTAAAGTTTTTGACAATTTTTGAAAAGCAGTACTTTTATAGCAAATGAAATATGGGTTTTCTCTTTAAGCTTTGCACTCAGCGTTCCATAGGGCAGCTGATATAAACATATCTATTTAATTTACTTGACGAGACCTATGAGATGAGTCAGTCAGATTCATTTCTTCTAAAACAGCCAAAAAGTAATCAAGACATGTTGGCAGAGGACTCATATTACGTCCTAAGCTCTTGGAATTAATAAAATATTAATCTGCCTCTCTCCTTCCACAACTGTTTTTCAATTGGCAGTGTGTGTTTTAGATTCCATTATCATATGTGACTCAGTCTGTGGGAAGTAAGCTTACATTTAGAGTAATGGCTGTCCGAGAGGCCTATGTCATTTCTGCGTACTTATAAACATGTACAAGCAAACGAAATAACTGCATCGCTGATGGAGTTTAAGTTAACAGTAAAGATGGTTACTGAAAAATAGGAACAAAAAGCTTAGCGTGCCAAAGTAGAATAAGCATCAAAAAAAGCAGTGGGTGTGTCAGGATTCTGTGAACGCTTTATACAGAGCATCCTTTCACTGGAAGAGAAGCTGGAAGAGAAACACTGATTAAGGGGGAGACCTGCTTTTCTAATGTGAAATCAAATTTAAAGCACAAAATTAAACAGGCCAGGGTGCCCAGGGAGCAGGCTGGAGCCAAAAAACGTGCCAGATTAATTTAATCATCCCTTTCATGAAGGCGGAGCCACTTCTTATTCCTTTGAAAAGTGATTTGCCCTAAATTTAAAGCAGGCATAGATTGCACTTTAAAAAAAAAAAGCCACAGGATACGCAGGAGGATGACCCCACCCCAGGGAGAGCAGAGATCAGGACTGGCAAGAATCTGGAAAAGCTTATGAAATAAATTTCACGTGCTTTGGTTACGGCCAATTACAAGCACGTTATAAATGAGAACATTATGAAGCTGTAAAATAAACAGGCTTGCAACGGGAAAAATGTGTGTGCAGAAATTCTCTGAATTCCCGTTATATGCATCGATAAGAGAGAGAGAGAGATCCTTCATCCTCCCAATTCTAAAAGAACAGGGACAGCGAGCTCTCTGGAGCTTCTGAGACGCACGTACTCACCAAATCTTCCGCGGTTATGGGCTGCCCATTTTTGTCACTGGCCACCACCATTCTTCCCAGCCGCTCCTTCATGTCTGTGAGGCCATCGGTCAGGGCCAGTACTGCCATGATCTCACTGGCCACCGCGATGTCGAACTGCGCCTAAGATGGCAAAAGCAAAGGGACTTGGTCATCTGGATGGCCATTTCAGCAATGAAGTTCTTGCAGGCCGGGGGTTATTCTCAATAGGCCCTTTTGAAAGGCTTCTGCTTTCTGAGTGTCTAGAGTGTATGCGATCCTGGGCTTGGCGCTCTAGGGTGGCCTTCTAGGGTGGCTGCACTCGGCTTCCAGTTGCTCTGCTGAGCAGTACTTGGCCTGGCTAGGCCCCTGTTACAACAACTCATGGCCCTATTTGCTTTTGTCTCGTGTTTCAGATTTGTAATGATCAATGATTAATATGATTACCTGTTTGATGCATATCTCTACCGTTGGACTATAAGTGCCATGAAGGCAGGGACTGTTTGGGGAGGGCTCACCCCCAAATGACCAGCTTGGAGGACTGAGTGTGAAACCCAGCAGGCACTCAGTATATATCCACTGACTGGCCGACTATCTCCGCTCTTACCCATCGGCATGTCTAGGGGGCTGCATTTGTCTATCCAGCAAAGGGATGAGGAATAGACAGTGAAAGGAGGTCTTGAGGCCAATTTCCCAGAGTAAGAGCTCAACACAGCAGTGAGGACACCCTAACGTGTATGAGCCACCAAGTCAAAAGGAGACAAAGAATCAATTTGCAGCCTTCCATGAGGGCTTGGCCACAGCAGATCGCGAAGCGCCCAGCAATGAACGCTGGAGAGCGAATGCTTTCTGCGAAATATTCCTGGGCCTTCCTATTCCCGCTCCTGGCTCTGACTCCAAGCTGCACGCAGTCCAACAGGAACTAAAAGAGACACAAGGAATTGTACTTCCTTCTCCTCATAATTGAGCCACTGGACAGACCACTTCATTATGCTCCAGCTGAATTCTCTTCTTCCCAAGGGGCACGTGAGCCAGACATGTTCAAGCATACACAGAGAGAAAATGGCTATGTCCTAGTGGGATCACTTTATGAAACATTTTATTGTCCATTTCCGTCACTGAGAAGAAAGGAAATGAAGGAAAGAAGGAGCTTTCCGGCTACTGCTGATTGAGATTTCATTAGTCATTGATTTAGTGAAAAAATATTATCTGGAAGTCGAATGCAACTATATTCAATTATTATAGTCTCAATATAACCTATTCCAAATACAAGTGATTTTTCATTGTATGAGATTTAGGATTCTCTATACCACCATTCCAATATAAACAGTGTTCATAAAAATGACTGTAAATATGGAGACTTTCTATACACAACACACAACTACAAATATTCTTAAAATATTACCTATATAAGTAATGAGGATTTATAATACGCATACAAGTTCTTCATTTGTAATCATTACAATTTCACAGTTTTGCATCTTGAGCAATATCAAAAAATGAAACAACTTAGATCACTATCAATATCATTGTTACTCATTTTATTGATTGAATGATGTACCTATTTAGAGGGCTGCTCATTTTTGTGTTGCAAATAAAATGTTTCAAAATCATATAAAGGTGTAAATGAAATTATACTTATTGTTTATGACAAATTTAAACATAGGACATTAAAGAATGTTAGCATGAATGTGAATCGATGTAGCTTTTCTGGAAGGTAATGTGGAAATACTCATTGATATTTGAAATCTATATCCTCTTTGACTCTGCAGTTATGGAGCGAGGAGGTTGTCCTAAGGATGTCATCTGACAAGAACACACACACAAATACATGTGGATGTCGCCTCGTGTCCATCACCTTATCAATTACAGCACAACACTGCAAACACCCCAAGGGTCCATTACCAGGGAACAGGATGGATCGATTATGGTACAATCTGCAAGATGAGATAATCTACAGCCATTAAAAAATGATCACATAGATCACCTTTTATCGACATGTCCTCAATTGGGTCTTATGCTTTAAAGAAAAGCAATTAAAGCTTTTAAATATAATCCCCCTTTTCATTAAAAACTACATATGCATAAAGCGATATAGGATATAGCTGTGGGCAAGTTACTTAACATACTTTTCTCATTTGTAAACCAGATTTACAAACCGAATGTGCTCATGTATATAATAAACCTACCAATACAAGGCACATAGTAGGCGTTCAAATCACAGCCAGTATTAATCTTCCCTCTCTCCAGTGCCTACTAACAGTACAAAAAATATGCAGAGAAATGAGGATTCTTTCCCAATCCTCTTTCCAGAGGAACTAATGTCAGAAGTTGGTGTACTCTTACCAGCTTCCATTTTATGTGTTTATAGACATATTTGAACACGTATATTGGCTTTTTCTTAACAAAAACTAGATATCGCTATATGCATTTTCCTCCAAAATTTTTTAATGTGTTTTTCTTTAACCTTCCCATTTCACAATCAGTATGGGAGCTCTATGTCACTCCCCCTATACACCCTATACATCCTTTATTATTTTCAGCCACCATATGAATCTGTGGGACAGAAAGAGGTCCCAAAGCTATGTAACCACCCCACTAATGAACATTTGGACTGTTTCAAATTTTCACCATTATAAATAATGCTGTAATTAATATCTTTATACAAAGATTTTTTTTTTTTGCACATATGCAAATATTCCCCCTTCTCCTATTTTTTTCACATCTGTAGTCCTGAAGTTCAAATCGTTGGGTCATTTCAAATTTTAATACTCACAAACTATCATCTAAGAAGCTTTATCAATCTATACTCCCACTAACACTGTATAAAAGTCTAATCCTTGCCATGCCCTCTGCTCATATGACACAAGGCTGCAATTTCATTAAAAAAAAAAAAATGTCACAACGCACTGCTTTTCTTTGGACGAGATGCTTTTCAATGCCAGATCGAAGGCATAAGACACATGCAAACCTGTGACTGTGATGTGAGGGGCATCCCAGGGCTGGGTGGTCCACACCAGGCCCTGGCCTCAGGACCACATTCAGAACCCCAGGCTGAAACGAATTTGTCAGCAGGATGTGGGGTCAGCACAGGTGTCCCGGGAAAGTGTCTGTCCACCAGTTTCTTGGGAGTCGTGGCCAACAACTCACTCTGAGGGGCGTCCTGGCTCTCTCCTGCTTCTGAGAAGTAGGTCTCTGAATTTAGAGACCCCCTAAAACACTCCCACCACATTGGGGGCTGTGCTTTTCTCTATCAATCCAATTCCATCTTCCTATTGCTCAGAAGCTTCCCCCAGACTGTATGGTGACGATTCCGGTTTTCCAGTGTGGATACCGACCGGAGGTTTGGAATCTGTTTCTGTGCGTGAGTTCTATTTGGACCGAATACTAAAAGTGATTCTTTTTCTCAATAAGAAAACTTAACAATGTAAAGGCTGTAAATCTAAAATTGTCTTAAAATATAAAGTTTATTATAAAATGTAATAATAATTTAGAGGCCTACAGTGCCTGGCTAAAAATATCACGGAATAAATTTATATTCCCTAAGCGCCATCGCCCCACTAGAGACCTGTTAAAATGAAAGTGGACATCGTAGTAATTTATCTTCCACATTTTCTGGATTTGGGTAGTAAGACATTATCCTTAAAAATTCCTCAAGTTATTAAGCCAAATAATTAGGTGTTTTTCCTTTGGTTGTTAAATCTGAGTAATGCATCTGAGATTTTTGAGTTCTGCAGATGTAGTAACAACTGGGTGGGTTTGCAATAAAGGCTGTTGGGATTTACATTCAAGGGACACCCTGGGTGGCTCACCGCAGAAACAAAACTAAGATCGCACAAGAAAAGGATGGTAAGATACTACAGAAAACTTTCCACCTTCTGGTCTCCTCCCAGTCCTGCTGAGGGATTGGAAAGGGACCTTGAAATGATGAGCAACCCACTCTCTGGCTATTGCAGGCAGAGGAAGGAGAAAAGCAGACAACCAGCTTCTGGGCTGCTGCAAACCAATACTAGCAAGAACAGAGGGTCCCCCGTGCAGAAAAGGCCACCTACCTGCCGGGAACATCCCTTCTCTGTGTTTGCCTGCCCAATCGTTATTTTTCGTAGAAACCGGTCATTTGTATCCAGTACTGAAAAAGAAGAGAACAGATTATTCAATCAGCAAGCAAAGATCGGCGGCCTACTGTGTATCCAGCACTGCTCTGAGTGCCAGGAGTGGTGGAGAACAGGGGACAAGGTCTGGCTTCCCTGGAGTTGACATTCTGGTGGGAGGGCACAGAAAGCTATCAGATAAACAAGAAAATATCAGCTAGTGACGAGTGCCTTAAGAAAATAAAGGAGGTGATATGAGAGTGTGTGTCAGGGCATTAGTGGAGGTTGGGGTACCATTTTCAACTAGGCAGTAAGGAAAAGCATTTCTGAAGCAGTGACATGTAACACTGAAACCTGAGTCCTAAGAAGAAGGCAATTAAGTTTCTCAAAACGTTAAACATTGAACCACCATATGACCCAGCAATTACACTTCTAGATACATATCCAGTAGAAAAGAAAGCAGGGACTTGAATAGACATTTGTACATCCATATTCACAGCAGTATCATTCGCAATAGCCAAAAGGTAGAAACCACCAAGTACCCAGCAGATGAATGAATAAACAAAATGTGATATACACACACAATGGAATATCATACAGCCATGAAAAGGAACAAGCTTTTCATATATGCTACAACATGGATGGACACTGAAAACTTTAGGCATGATGAAGCTACAGCAGGGGTTTCCAACCCCCAGGCTGTGGACGGGTACTGGTCAGTGGCCTGTTAGAAACGAAGCCGTACAGCAGGAGGTGAGCGGCAGGCCAGTGAACAAAGCTTCATTTGTATTTGCAGCTGCTCCCCAGCGCTTGGCATCACCGCCTCAGCTCCACCTCAGATCATCCAGCACTAGATTCTCAGGTGCACACCAGTCCCTGGTGCCAAAAAGCTTGGGGACCGCTGAGCTAGAGGAGGGACAAATACTGCATGATTCCACTTAAAATGAGGTATCTAGAATAGGCAAATTCACAGAGACAGAAAGTAAGACAAAAGTTATAAGGGCTGAGGGTAAAAGGGGAGTTATCGTTTAATGAGTACAGAGTTTTTGTTAGGGATGATGAAAAAGTTTGGGGTTTAAGATAGTGGTGATGGTATAATCATTGAGAGCTTTGTCAACTGAACGTATTTAATGGCACTGATTGCACACTTACGAATGGTTAAAGTGATATATGTATATTTAACCACAATTAAAAACAAAGTAAGTCTACAGCCACGCCACCCTGAACGTGCCCGATCTCGTCTGATCTCGGAAGCTAAGCAGGGTTGGGCCTGGTTAGTACTTGGATGGGAGACCACCTAGGAAGACCAGGCGCTGTAGGCGTTAAAAAAAAAAGAATAAAAGAAAAAAAAACAATGTAGTATGGAGAGAAGAGAAGAAGTCAATCATGATTCAAGCAGGCACCAATTCTCTTCATTTCTTCTTACTGGCTCGTTTGAATTGCACTGATTTACATTTTTTTTTCTGTGAAAACTAGATTTGGTTTAGTGAAAGCCAGATTTGGTTTAGTGAAAACCAAATTCGCAATGCCAGAAACAAAGCCAGGACAGAGGCTTCACTAACAATTCATTTGGCTTCAAACAACAAGCTGTCCACACTGATAACAAGATTCAATTCACTAAATGTACGATATGGCACTGACGACGGTGACGGGAATTATACATCTGGAGACTAAAAGCACCTGCAGGCTGAAAACGTTCACCTTTTCTTTCCCAAAGTGCTAGCGGCCCACCTGGGCTGTTCCCCGACTCAGCTGCTGCCAGTCTTACTCCATGTACAATACGCTCTCTCTCTCACATCCGCACACATGTACACACTCAGACACACTCACAGGCACTCAAACAACACTCTAAACCTTTCTGATTTTAAGATATAGGCAGAGTATATACAGGGAAAGGAATGCTTCGCTATATGATCACTAGCTGGTAATTATTCCCAAGACCTATGGTTTAGAGTCATATAAAGTAAAATATTTCTTACTCTTTTGCGTAGTATACACAATCTTGGCACAAGGTTGCTGTGATCTAGTTATTGGAAATTCAGCTGTTTTTTATTTAGCAACGAGAACACAAACAAGCCAAAAAATAATCTTGGCAAGATGAACTGTAATCAGTGGCAGTGAAAGCCTGCCAGTGGGCTTACCAGGCCCTGGCAGAGCAGGGCGTCTCATATCCACGAGCTTTTGATGTACGGGCTATGTCGGGGATCCATGAGAGAAGAAATGTGAGGACTAAATCCTGACACACGAGAAGGATCCCAGAAAGTGACCCTGAGTGAGCGATACAAAATTCCTGGCCTCCGCACGAGAGAGCTAAAGGTGGAATGAGAAACGTCTGTTCACTCCAGGAATATTTATTGAGGGGCAACTCCGTGCCGGGTCCCATACTCGCTGTGCGGGGATGCACAGATGAACAGGACATCCGTCTCTGATCTAAGGCGTTTACTGGCAGAGGGGAGATAAGGAGAGTAGAGTGAGAGAGGAGGGGGGAGAAATCTGTTTTTTATTCTTTGATGGTCGTTTTAGTCCCACAGTGCTGACTGTGTCTTGAGGGACGTGCATGGTGTGTCTAATGGCCTGCTAAGCTCTCGCAGCTCAGGCAGGGTCTGGGCTGTATAAGGTATGACCACAGGGAAGTTCTACTACTTTGGTTTCAGCGGAAGATCTGCAGTGATTCTCTGCAGGGCTGTCAGTCGGGCAATGCTGGGAACCAGGAACCTGATGTCAGTTCACTGAGGCCAATTGAGGGTTGTGGGACTTTGGTCTAACAGCCAAAGAAGGGACACACCATTGAGATGGGGCGAAGGGAAGACTGTGAGCTCTGGGCACTTCCGGTGCTCAGAGAGGCAGGGGCTCACGCTCCCCCAGGAACAACAAAATGGCTCCATGTCTACTGTATATTCTGCTTATGCTAAGTGTTTCTGGAATATTCTACTGGCTCCCAGTCCCACCCTGTTGCCAGGCACACAAGGACTTTAAGCTTCTGATGTGAGGCACAGGATGCAAGACCCAGCAGTTAGATTTCTTATACAGGCTGAAAGAACAGGGGTGGCCATTAAATATATGACGGCCACATGGTCTGAGATGAGGTTTTCAACCCACGTGGTCCCTGAGTGTCCCTTCTCCAGTTGTCAGATCATACAAGGACCTAATCTCATCACAAAGATTATACTATTTCTAGGTCTAAGCCCATATTGCCTTAAAAAAACATACTCCTATATTAAATCTTCTCAGTTCATCTGATAGTCTCATTTTTTTATATTAATTCATAAGAATAAGAGCTAAGCTACTTATTAAATGTCATTCCAAACGCCTGTGGACCCAGGTGGCTTGTTTATAAGAATCACGTTTCCCTCACTTTAATGCCCTAAACAATAATATAATAATTCTAGTATTTATCTGGAATAATTTTTTTCAGCTGTCATTTCTATTAACATTGATTTGCAACCACGAAATGCTGTCCCCTCAGCTCTCTCAGAGAGAAACCAGTCTGCACACCAGCCCTACGTATGAGGGACCACGTAGCCTTTTTCTCCCAAGACCCACGGGACCGAGCCACTGCCCTCTTTCTGAACACGCTTATTATGATGTAAATGAAGCTGATAGGACATAAAATCATCACATCCAAATTATAATTAGAGTTATACACAAAATCCGGAGGCACAAAAAAACCCGAAATAGTTTTATTAGTATAGCAAGATGTTTCTTATTCTTTTTAGATATTTCCAAAATCTTTATAATGCTGTTACCTTTATAATAAAAAATATTTTTAAAAAAGTTTCCAAGGAGATTTTACTCTCCTCTAGTCTAGGAGACGAAGATGCACAGAAACACTACATCACACAACTGTCACCGTGGTGGCCTCTACCGATGATGTGGGTGGTGCTTTAGAGTTTGAAAGCACTCCCACGGTGCAGTGGACCTGTGCGAGGGGGAGGCTGGGATCATTACTCCATTTTACAGAGAAAACTGAGGAAGTCATTTGTTGAAAGTTGCACAGTTCATAAATGGTAGAGCCAAGATTCAATCTCTTTGTCTCTCTACTTCACGGTTTGTGGAAAAACACTAAATTCTTAATGAAATGTTTGAATGGATTCCCGGAAGGGACGCTTCACAAAAGGTTGGACCCGGGCTGTGTCTGGGAGGGCAGAGGCAGGGAGGTCGTCAACGGTAGGCAGAAGGATGAAGGTACCCACCTGTCTGGAAGTAGACAGGGCATAAAAGTGCATGAGACCACGCCATAGTGGTCCTTAAGGCCAAGCTATGTGATGGCAATTTTATCCCGCCCAGGATGGGGGGGTGGGGGGATTTAGTTAAACAGCATGGAGGCTTCTGAGCAAGGAAGTGACAGGCCAACATCGCTACAATATGCATCTACTAAATTGGGGGACGGAAATTAAAGCAAGACTATCTATTAAAAAGCAACTGTGATAAATCAGGCATCGGGTGAAAATGGAAATGGGAATGGGGACAGTGGGTGGGCAGTCCGAGAAGAACGATACAGGAAGGACCCGGAACACGTATGGTCCGACCCTTCTGCAGCACCACAGGTCTCTTCAAGTGCCGTCACCATGTTCCAGTAAGTACGTTACCCCTACTAAATTGGGGGGCGGAAATTAAAGCAAGTGCCGTCACCATGTTCCAGTAAGTACGTTACCATTTTCATCTGCAAGAGACCGAGGCCCAGAACGCGTGCGTGGCTTGCTCACGTTCACGAACATTAGCTAGTGGCAGGGTAGAGACGACACGCTTCAGGCCTCTTCCCACAGTCCCACCCCTGTACAGGGCAGTGTGGGATCAGGGAGGCGGCATCACAGCCAAGGTCGGGGTGGGGGAGTCGTTGTGTTTGAAGCGTTAGAGGGTATTCTAATGGCTGGAAGTATGTACTAGACTCAGAGAAAAAATTCGGCACCAAAAATACAAACTTAAGAGCTACTTGGAGCTAGTGGTAAGAAAATGAAAGGAAGAAATTCAGGCGGCAGGTGGACAGGGCAGCAGGACAAAAAAGGGGAGAACAGACTAAGACTTAAAAAAAAAAAATTCAGGACAAGAAGCTAGGGAAGGGGGTGGCTCCATAGTGTAGTAGTTAGCGGGTCTGCTTTACACGCAGAAGGTCCTGGGTTTGCACCCCAGGTGGAGCCACGGATCATACCCCAGGTGCGCCAGGCCCCGGGGTGCACGCCCCGAAAGTGTGGGAGGAGACGCCCCGCCTTCAGAGATCTGGTTCTTAAGGGGAAACGGCAAGAACCATGGGTCAGGGGGGAAAGAGTGTGAGGGGGGAGGGCAAGGAATTAAAGAGATGGAAAAAAGTAATAATAACATAGAATAAAAAGAAGCCAGGGAAGAGACAGAAGAGAAAATAACTAATTTCCCTTGGAAATACGGAAGTGGGTGAGACCCGGTGAGCTGCCATGGACCAGGTGGTTGGACCAGGTGGTTTAAGAAGGGGCATGGACCCTTCTCCTGATGGGGGGCAGGGATGACAGAAGAGAAGCAAATGGAGGGATTACAAAACACGAGCTGGGGACAATGGGAAGAAATAAAACTCTGCATCTGTGAAACTGATTTAAGAGCTTCAGCTGGAACGTATGCCGCCCTCCCCGCCCGGCGATGAGTACCCACCTCTCTGCCACGTGATGGTAGAGGGGTCGATGTTGAGACGGGCGAATTTACTCATTTCCTCTTCTGTCAGTGTGCTTGGATCCGTCTTATTTATTCCCAGTTTCTGATGATTAAGAAGAAAAAAAATGCACTAAGTTTTAGAAGGAATAGAAAGCAAAATGTAACTAAAACGATCCTCCTTCCTTTATTTTCTCCATGACTAGGAAAGCCTTTTTAAAAACTGAATTTGAACTTCGAGTAAATGGTAGGATAGGCCAACTCATATAAACGAATGCCTGAGGCCCAATATCTCTTATCGGTGAAAGACAATGAAATTTGTAACATAGCCTCAAAAGAACAGATCTGAAAGTGCATCGCCGTTGGCAGTGTACAAAACACCCCGCTTGTGCTATGTGACCACTACGTGCTGCGCTCAGAACGGACATAAATTGCCGCCTACATAATTGACGCTCCAGTTCATTAGTTCTTCTTTTCAAATCCAAAAACCATTAATTCAAGTAAAGTTTATGTCTGTTTTCAGAACCAGTTATTTCTAATTCACTGAGGAAAAACCATTGAAACTGTCGATGCATCCATTTCTGTAAAGGAAACATCCTAATTAAGAGGTTCTTAATAAAGAAGTAGAAGAAAGGAATCTGGGCAATGGAAATTATGTTGTAGCTGCTGAGGACAAAATATTGTGCAGTATTATCAACAAACCAAACTTGGTTCAGTTAAGAAGGGGGTGAATTTTTTCAACCAATTAATTATTACCAAGCAGTAGCTGTAAATTATACCATTAAAGTTAGTTTTCGGTCTCTGGAAAAGAGCAAGGGGAAATCAGTGTGATTAGCAGCATGAGTAGCAAATGGAACTAGAAAATAGCAAAGTGGATAAGAATTAAGATTGCAACTGCAACCTTAGCATCTTGTTGCACCAAAAACTGAGAGATGACCTTTCAAAGGCTGTATCTTATTTCCTAGTGATTGAAGAAATTTCACGAAAGAGAAGGACTCTTGGCAGTTCTCATTTGTTCGTTGACTAGGATACTCTAGATCAGCAGAGCAGTCCTCTTAATTTATAGGTGAAGAAACTGAGGCCCGATGTGTCCTGCCTGCTCTTTGGTGTAGGGTCCAGGTCCCAGGCTTTCAGTTCTGAGCTCTCTGCTATATTGTTCTGTCTCTTTAGAGTTCAGTACTCAAAGGAGTATCCAAAAACCAAAATCAAATCAAGTTCAAAATTTCTGGCTTTGGCAATTATTTCAATTTGTCTCCAGGATATTTTCTTTTTGAACAACCGTAACTGGAAACTTACTTTGAGCCGAGCAAGTTGAATTTTTGAAAATTCTCGAACACCATTCACTAAAGGAACCAGTCGATTATATAGAGCCTAAGAACACAAAACAAAAATAAAATCCCACAAAAGTTTAAGGGCCAACCATGAACTTGGACAATTCACAGGATATGACAAAGTTCATTACATTTATAACCAAACTGCTTAGATTACAGACCCCATTAAAATTCTTGGCTAATATAAACAATGTAGCCTTAAGTTCTGTCATTTTAATAAATCTGACTAGATCTGACATAATGCACATTGCAAAGAGTTTGCATAAACACACATTTCATAATCTACAGCCCCATAACTATCAAAATAATATTTATTTGTATTTGGCTTCAAAAACTCACTAGGTAGTTACTTTAATTGGAAGTAGTCAGGATCCTTGTAAAAGTGCCAGAAAGTCCCACTTTTATCAATGTCATATGTCTATGAGGAATTAGCACCTGGTACCCTGTCCCCTTCAGGTGTGTGGTTTACCTCTCAGACTGCACCTGAAGCCCAACTAAGGGGTCTGACCTCTGAAACGGCACCTCTGGAATAGCTGCACATAACATTAGTCTTAGAAAAACTATTCCTCCGAAAAGAGAGAAAAAACAAACCCCCAAAACAAATCACAACAGAACAAAACCCATAAAAGACAAACAAACAAATAAACAACAACAAAATAAAAAAGAAAGAAAGAAAAAAGAAAAAAAGCTTTTCCTCCAATTCCCTTAGTATAGAACAGAGATAAGACCTATGGGCAGAATGAAGAGAACTGGCAAACGAACTACACTCAAAACTAAAGACTGATCTCAAACAATATTTGGCTTATACAGTACAATCAATACAATCAATTCTCCCAACAACTTGGCAGTGGTCACAAACTCATCTGAGAATCTGACCAAAGTATGCATCCTCTCCTCAAGAAATAAGGACATATATAAATTCACAAAATTTTGATTAAATTTCAGAGTTTACAGACTCCACAAGTTTTTCTATGAACTTTTTAAGAATCTCAAAGACCCCAGGATAAGATGCCCCAAATGGCTAACGAGAAACCTTTCTTACTTTATCAGTTTGAGTGTTTTCATGCAAAATCCTTGTGTCGATGGCAGCAGCCAGCAAATTATTGGCAGCGGTGATGGCATGAATGTCCCCCGTCAAGTGAAGGTTGAACTATAAAGGAAATGAAAACATCTTTCTACTGGTTCCAAACAACCATGACTATTCGAGACTTTCTAAATAAATAAAAGATCACATTAATCACATATCCTATTATGAGCCGAGTCCGTAAAACAGCCTAAGTCAGAAAATCGATGTTGGGGTTTTCCCCTGACAACCAAGAACTTTGGAGCAGACTTCCTGTTGCAGATTATTTCTTTCTCAGATTAAGTGTGAAATATTCTGATGGGTTTAGTGATTGGTTTCCTTATTTTGTTTTCCTTATTTTCATTTACCTTTATGCATTGTTTTATGATCTAGAAAATAGTATCATATCAAGTATACTTTAGAATGAGGCAGGGCATAAAATAAACAGTAGCAACAGAATAATATAAAATATGACAAAGTCTGAGAAATAGGAAATCTATTACTCTTGCAACTCTGTTAATTCTTCGGTTTTCCTTCCAGTTATGTGCGCACACATTATTTGTACAATCAGCATACCTTCCTTTTCAAAGAACCCATTTTGTAATAATTTTGTTTATGGATCGTTATAGTTTATAGGGGCTATATAATTGAGAAGATGCACCAAAATTTTTCAGTCTCCTGTGTCTGGATAATGTTCACTTTTGTGAAGAAGGCTACGATTACAAAGAATCTATGCAAATAGCTATTTTTATATATTTCTAGCAGTGTGGTTACTGAGTTAAAGGATCTTGATAATATCATCAACTTGCTTTTTTGAAAGGATTGAGATACCACCCACGAAACATGAGCAGATAAGTTACTTCAGAAACGAAGTAATCTTTGGGCCAAAAAATAAGTTAATAGTTGAAAAAGTGGTGTTTCTTGTTAAAATCTTATTCTACAACAAAATATATGATCACTAGAAAATATGAAAAATTATATATGTGTATATTTTATAATAGTTTTAATTTCAAATAAATAGATCATGACACCATAATAGGTTATACCTTAACTTTTACACTTAATGTGAACTCACATTTTTACATCATTAGTCTTCAAAATACAGTTAATCTGAAATCCTGTTAGACATTTATGTGTTTTCCTGCAATTCGTTATTGCTACAAACTGTGAAGATAAACAGTTTTAAAATTAAATCTTTGCATATACAGCCAATTTTTCCTTAGGATAAACTAAAAATGGATTTATTTGGTCTAACGGGTATGAGTATTTTTAAGGCACTTGATACATATTTCTAACTTCCCTCTAGAAAAGTATTACCAAAATACATGTCCCAGCTCTGTAAGGGTACAGAAAGTCTATTTCGAAAAAGTGTAATGCCAAAACTTGGTATTACTGCTATTTAAAAAAAGTCCAACTCTGTCAATTTGACAAGAAAAACGATAACTGAGAGTGGTTTTAATGTAGATTAATTTAATTACTGAAGATAAACATTCACTCATTAGTTAATATTTCTTTTCTGATGTTTCCGTTGAACCCTTTGCCCATTTTAGAACTGGGACACACGTTTTCCTTTCCAGCTATCTGACCACTGGTGTCCACTGGCCCCAGGCGGGACTATTCTAGGAGCCACTCTCCCCTCCGCCACCAGTTCCGGCCCTCTGCCCATCACGCCCTTACTCCCCCCCAAGTCCTCCATTTCAATACGTGATTCTATAGGGTTGCTCAACTCAGCATCCCGGATGTCACCCGTGAATCCTCCTCTTTGCTCAGCCCTGCATCTAATTCTGCAAATGTCAGCAAACTTGTCTTAGATCAATGTCATCCTTTTTTCCATCCTCACTGCCACCATCCTGGGCCAAGCCACCGCCATCTTTCTCCTGGGCTACTTGCCCATGCTCCTTACTAGACCCCCAGCGTCCACTCTGGGCTGCTGACAATCATTCTCCGCACAGAAATCAGGGTGATTTTTATAAAACCCCAATTTGCACCATGTTATTGATGCAAAGATCCCTTCAATGGCTGACCAAGATACCTCCGATCATATCCAGCCTCTTGGCTATGAACTTGGATTGCTTGAAAGAGGTGGCCCCTGCCCATTTCTCTACCTCATCTGCCTGCACTTCCCGTTGGCCCCTGGCACACAGGAGTGTCTCCTCCTTCTCTAACAGACCGCACCCTCTCCTGCCTCAGGGCCTCCCCACAAGCCATTCCCGCTGCCCGGAATGCTTTCCCGCATTCTTCACGAGCCTGGCTCTTTCTCACCCTTCAAGTCTTAGTATTTTCACTTTCAGTTTTTCAATCCATTTGGAATTTATTCTAACGTTTTCCCATGACTATTTATTATGTTTCTTCTAGTGTGCGCTGTCTGCTCATGCTCTCAGCCAACGAGTACCTACTGGGTGTCGGGCATTGTGCACAGGTGGGGACAGAGAGATGAAGTCGACACGGGAGGTGCCTGATTGTGTTGGGCCAGCTACTTCATGCCTTAAGTTGGAGCCAACTCTGAGCCACGCAGCTGAGGACATATGTCAGCAGGACACTGATCCCCTTTCAATATTTGCTAGCTAAATCCTGAGCCATTCCCCCAGGCATGCTCCTTGTCCTCCATCCCCAGTCTGGCCTTCGGGCCCTGTGTCTTCTGAGCTCGGGAATATTACTCACCTCCCTCTAGATGTGAGGCTCGGGGCTGTTTTTCTCAGCAATGCCTATTGACTATTCTTTCTCACCCTCCCCCAATAACTGAACATTATCCGCACTTTCCTTCGGCTTCCCTGACACTCGGGTCTCCATGGTAAACATCTCTCCTAATTGTTCAACAAAGCCAACAAATATCTCTTAGCGAGCACCAACTGTGTGCCAGGCGCTCTGCTAAGTGCTGGAGCCTCTAACTCACCACAGCTGCCGGACCAGATGGAGACAGACACAGAGTATGAAGGGGTCATTGGGGGAGGAACACAACCCAGACGGGTACAAAGATGGCGAGGGTGGAAAAGGAAGCGAAGGGCATTCCAGGCTCGGAATCAAGAGATAACAGGGCAGAAGTCTGCAAGGAGTGTGACAGGGCGGCGAGGGGGAGGGCTGCACGTGGGGACCTGACACAGCGAGGCAGAGTCGGCAGAAGCGGGGGCCCGCGAGGACCGGTGCTGGATGCACGCGGTGCTGGATGCATGCTGATGGAGTAACCACTCAAACATGCTGGACAGAAAAGCAAGCTGCTCAGACCTGGAGTTCAGGGAGATTTCTCAGGGCCTGAACTAAGAGGTCAATGCAGAGTGTAGAACCGATGAGACCTGGTCGCTGATTAGACATAGGGGACAAGGGAGTGGTTATCGGGGTGCAGAGGGGTTCTTGGAGAAATAAGAACTGCTACCACTGGCCCTTTCTGTTCATTTTTCTTTGGAACTATTTGATTTTGGAGTCTCAATTTACAGAAGGGAAGAGTCCAACTTCCTGAATTGGGCAGGATGACAGGTGCTCGATGGAGATATAGGTCTGTGTCCTCTTTTCCAGAACGCCTTCAGGCCAGGTGGGTTTTGGGATTCAGAACTGTTTGGAATTTAGAAAGGTAGCGTAATGTACATACAATTTATTTATAAAACACCTCAAGTAGGGTCTAGGTCAGCCTCCATTCATCAAAAACAATATTTCTGCAGCAAAATATAAGAACATTTATATCAAGTGGCACAAAGTCCACACATAGTTCATAACGGTAAATGTCAGGTTTTGCCACCAAATGGGTCATATAATTTTCGGTTTTCAGAGCCTTTCAAGACTTGGGGGTTGAGGGTAAAGGACTGTAGGCCTGTGTTTATGGAAGTACAGGAAAAAAAGATGCCAGGAAGGAAAAACAGTGACACACGACACGTGTCCCTTTGAGATCTTACCTCCTCCATGGGAATGACCTGGGCATATCCGCCACCCGCAGCTCCTCCTAAATAACAGAGCAGACACCGCTGGAATGAGTCGCCAAGTACAGCCACAAAAATGGACAGAGCCCTAGGGACATGGCTCCCCAAAACCAACAGGGACGCACGTACCCTCAAGACGAAATCACAGGCAGTGAGAAACATTAACTGTCTATCAAAGCAGCACAGAAGGGGAAAAAAAAAAATCACGCTATGTCCAACTCTGCAATATAAGGACTTCGGTTTCCTTGTTTAAAAAAAGGGTAAAAATAATATAGCAATGTTGCTACAGCAAACATGAGATTATTTTGTTAATTTATTATTAGGTCTATGTGGCTATGCTTCATCTAATTGCATGTGCACTGAAGTATCAAAAAACTTTGTTAAAAAAAACCCACCTGATAAACTCAGACTAACACATTATGAACTTCAATTAATTTTAGATAATAATATATAAGATTTGTCATGCTGCTTATCCTTCAACATAGTAAAGTTATTACATTAAAAAGACTTTTTTTTTTAAACAATAATGATACCTTCCATGTCCATATCATTTATAGTTTTCCCTGTTTTTTCTATGTTATCTCATTTTGTCCTCAAAATAACCTGGTAAGCCTGGTACTGTAAGCCTTTTTACACTTTTTCAGATACAACTCAGAGAGGTTGTCATTGGCTAAAGGTCACACAGCAGTAGGAGACGGCCATGAATAAAACCTCGACCTTCTTGCTCCAAGCCTAGTGTTCATTCCACTACACAATGCGTGACATTCTATGACTTATCAGTATTTAATGAGTTAGGAGTTATTAATATTTATAACAGTAGTATAAATATAATACCGCTAAAACCCACAAAGTGCCAAGAACAAACAGTAATTGCAGCAATAAATGCTATTATGAAGTGCGCTGGAGAATGTTTTCATGATAAATCAGTGAAGAAAGAGCAGTGAACGTGTCGCTGCCAGACATGAGCCCAACCGCAGCCAGAGGGGAGTTCCATCCCGTCGATCTGTCCACGCTGGTCAGCTCCGGAGCTCTGCAGGCCTCACGCTGCAGCTCCGAACCAGCCGAGACCTGGGAGGGCCTACTGAGGGTCTCTAACTGGGTGGAAAGACCCTTCACCATGGTTGGGGTGATAAAACGCAAATAAAAATGGCAAGAGTTTCAAAATCGCTTGGCAAAGGTTCTGAGGAAACCGAAAGCTTCTTTCTGCTCAAGGTTACACTCCTGAGCGAGAGCCTGGCCACGGTTCAGGGAAACCAAGGAAACTGATTTCGGGAAGGGTGGGGGGTGGGGGGCTCCACCAAAACCCCATGCAGTTCTCTCTGCAGAGAACCAGCTCGGGGTGACCCCCACGTTACTGGGTGTCTGTGTGGGCAAGTGCACATAGGGACGAAACACACTAGCTCCTCTGACAGCTTTTAATGCCACATCTGTTGATGATGCTCTTTTTAAACCTTTCTCCCTCTACAATTTTGCTCTGAAATTATACTTGTTGTTAAATAAAGTACCTTTAACTCCGAAAGTGGGCCCTTGAGAAGGCTGCCTCAGACAGGCAAAGGAGTTGACGTTCAGGTGTGCGGTCAGGGCCTGGACGAGGCCAATCGTAACTGTGCTCTTCCCTTCTCCAAGTGGGGTGGGTGTGATCCTGATTTGAGAGGGGAAAAAAAAGTGAATTTAATATTATTTCCGAGACAACCTATGCCAGGTAAACTTAAGGTACGAGAACAAAATCAGAGGATATTACGAGAGAACGTACCATTCCAAAATCCACTTCATAATTCACTTTTCTTGAACCATTACGCTCTACCATGCACCCAGGCCATGCTTAATCTAAAGTCAAGATACAGACACACCTTCGCCAAGAGATTCTCCCCCCTGCCCCCCAAAGAAGAGAGAAAAATTATTAGGCATTGGTGCTAATAACATTATTAACTTTAAGAAATCGCATAGAATCATTCATCAAAATGGCTTCGATAATTAAGCTGATGTCATTTCTTATTGATGGGTAATTTGGCATTCGCTCATCCAGGGCCATTTCTCGGGGACGTGATGTGGGCGCAGGGCCTAACTCGATGCTCCATGAGTAAGTGAGGCATGGCCCAACTCCCGGGACAGGAAGGGATCCTAATGTCCCCACCCATCCATCTCTTTCTAGATGTCAGTGCCCAGGGCTGTCCCCATCATGCTTGAACTGAAGCAGTGGTGGGAGCTCATTACCTCCAGGGTGGCCCATTCATTTCCAGACAGTAGAACATTCTTTGCTCTAAAGGGGAGATGTCTGCATTCCTTTAGCTTCTTATCTCTTGGAGTCAGACACACTAAGCCTTATCCTTTCCCATACAACAGCCTCTCAACTATTTGGAAAGAATAAGGCAATCACTTGTGCTCTGAGGAGCTTACTGCTGACCACAACCCCCCATAAAACCAAACATCACACGTTCACACAGAACATCACAGTATTACATGAGGGCATAGGTGGATATTACATTCCTAAGTAGGGTCCCATAAAACTGTTCCTTAGTATACACTAACAATGTACTATGTTTAAAAACTGCCATTTGGGCTTACAATACGGTCTTCTATGAGCTGGCGTGAGTCAGGTTGTCTACGATACTCAACCACAACAAAACTGATGATAGTTTTCTGACCTGCAAAATCTACTGATGTGACCACAAAGAATGAATGCCCTTAGATGCGTCATCCTCAACTACCTCCGACCACCACGGCAATACAATCGATCATTCGTTTAGCAACTACGTATTAAGTACTAACACGTGCCAGGCTACTAGACCCTGGGGACACGATGATAACCACGATGGATTCCATCGCTGCTCTCATAAAGCTTCCAACTAATGAGAGGTATGGACGGAGAAATCAGCAGTTCTAGTGAATCTGATAAACACGAAGACAGGGGACGTAGGGCAGTGAGACTATGTTATAAGAGCCCATGGAATGAGGCTCCAACTAGATCTGGAACTCCAGAGAAGGCTTCCTGGAGGAAGCAACATCGAAACTCAGACAACTGAATAAACATTCGCCTGACAAAACTGAGGATGGGCTCTGGGCAGTTAACATGCTAGGCTCTGTTATAGTTGGGTTAATTATTTTTAATCCTCATTTTAAAAGTGAGGAAACTGAGGCACGAAGAGTTTAAGTAACTTGCCCACGGTCACATGATTAATAGAACTGGAAATCAAACCCGGGCTAGTCACCTGACCTCACTAGGTTATTTCTGTGGATAGAAATTCTTAACTATAATTAACAATGTAAAGCAAGAGCAGTCAGTGAGAGTGAACAGAATGAGAAAAAAGGTAGAGACAAAACTGTTCATGTTTTATCTTAAGGAATAGTCGGAAGAGAGAGCATAAAGGAAACTGAGCAAGAGCAGTAAAAAGTAAGAGAGGAGGGGGCGGGGGTGTGACAGGGACTCTTGAAAAAAACCAAGGAAGTGTCCAGAGTCTGAAGGGGTCTGAAGCCTGGTGAGGACCAAGAAGTGGTCACCAGATTTAGCAACAAGGAGGCTACTGGTAGGGAGCTGGTGAGCCAGCCTGAACACTGCCCGAAAAAGTCACCCGCAAACTCCTCCAGCCATGCGAGAAGACTCAAAGCTACGTGAAGATGTTTATGCGCTGAGAACTTTCTGCTTTTTAGATACAACATGAATAAAAAGACGTTAAAAAACCCACAGGCATCACAATTTTCAAACAGCCAGTGAAGAAAACGTACTATCGAACACAGGGTGGTTTAAGGACCACACTGAGCACTTACTGTTTGCAAAAGAATAGGTAGTTTACTTAAACTGTGCACACGAAAGATTCAATTTTCATTCCCAAGCATATGCTAACATAGCTGCTGGAGACAGCCAAGAGCAGACACGCCCAGAGATGACCTCCTCGAAACTTCGGCTAACCATCCAAGTCTTAATTAGAAACACAGGACCGCTCAGCTTTCTGCCAACTATTACAAGTCAGGAAAATCAGAAAGTAGGAAGTATTTATTGGGAGCAATAAAGAGAGCTACAATAAAAACTGATTTCACCTTATTTCTGCATCTGGTATCAAAATGTGGCTTGTTATCCCAATATCCTTAGCATCAGATTCCGAATTGTCAAGTTGACTTACAAGACAAGCACCGTATTAACCTAATTTCTTTTTCTATAAGAGATGAGAGTTCATGGAGACAGAACTGATTTTTGTTCACTAGTTTCCTCAACTTCTCCTGGCTGATCGATCTGTTCCCTCTAATATTCCACAGCATTTATTGTGTGATTATAACTTTTCAGAGGGCTTGCTATAAGCTTCCAACATGGTATGTCTCGCTTACTAGGCCACGAGCTTGCTGAGGTGAAGGACTATGCCTATTCTCCTTGAAGTCCTGTCACCTATCCAGGGCACAGATGAGCACAAAGTGGTTGACAAAGGAATGACGCCTTTTCTGAGACAAATATTTAGAGTCAACTACAGTACAAATTTATGGAAGTGCTCTGTGCCGATTTGGACATGATCCGAAAGAAGTTCACCATTTACTCAAAGATCAAAAAGATTGCTTATGTCGCAATAAGTGGGCAAACTTGAACTGTTCTCAAAATCTAGAATCTTGTTAAACAGCATTGTTGCCATTAGCCACGGATCTAATCATGAACTCCAAAACTATATGCTAAACAGCATGTGAATATGTATGTCACCCATACCAGGCATCTTCGTGACTTGGAAGATTTTTTAAATGCCTTTTATTTTCTAACAATGGACTGCCTAGTCCGTTTGGTTGTGTCCCATCGCACACAACTGTAGTAAACAGTTCGAAGGTCCTATCACAGTCGTGGTTTCTTCTAAATACCTTTGTTCTATTCTGCAAGTGGTAAAAATAAAAGAAAAACTCACAGATCTTTAAATAGTTACCCAAAGAAGAAAAGTATGATCTTAGAAAAGTCACTAAAGGTTATTTTTACATCGACCAAAATAATTGGTTGAAACACTAAAAAAAAAAAAAAAAAGAAAAAAGAAAAAAAGAAAAAATCAAATTGAGTATTTGGCACGCTCCAGAAAGAAAAAATAAAGTGACTTGAATAATTTCAATTTTTCTTTAATGTGAAATTCAGTCTCTTCACAGATCGATTCGGGCTTCTCTTTTAACTGCTCTGTCCAAGCAATTGAGACAAGTTCTAGAAATTTCTGCACAGAAATCAGTAAAAGGCCGATGGAGACCGATCCTACAACACACTCAATGCCCTACAGCTGCACTCCAAGTCAAGTTCTCAAATTCCTTTTCATTAGTGTAACTGGGAAAATATGTAAAACTCAAGAGCCCCTAAGATTCTTTTGGCATATTTCCCTGAACGATTCCCAATACTTTTCATTTTGTCAGGCAAAGCAAATAAAGTGATGTGTAGGTGTAAATACCATGCGATGTGTAGCTGATGAAATACAGATGATTCTGACAGAATGAGAAACCCTAAAGTTTGAAGAATAGCTTTTTAAAATGAATTAATCTGTTCTGCATTTGGGTTATTAATAGTAGAAAAAAATTTTAATCCCATTGTTTTATGTATTCATCCCACTGTTTATAAATTTAAATCACATTTATACATAAATTCAAATGTTCAATAACAAATATATTGTTATTTAGGTTTATTGAAAAATTACTTGGGTATTTGAATTCTAAAGCATGGAAAAAGACTCATGTTACAGTATTTACACGAAAAGGCAGGATACAAAGCGGTATTTATGGCACGATCTCAACTTAAAAAGGATGAATGCATAGATAAAAACCCTGGGAGGAAATATAAAAATTTTTAACACTTTCAAGTAATGAGATATTTAATTTTCTCCTTCTTTTTACCTTGCTTTATGTTAAATTTTCATACAATTACACAATATTATTTCCAGAATAAAAAACTTCCAGAAAAAGATTCTCCAATAATGGGGGGATCATTTATAGTTCTAAAAAAGTTGCAACAGTGTGTATAATGGTTTGACGATGTCATTTTTCCAAAACTGACTTAACCAAAAGTAAAAACATGAAGGTGATTTTTAAAAAATTTTAAATGAACTTTTCATTTTAGATTATAAATAAAATGATCATCTTGTGTTTTAAACTAATCTCAAGCAGCCAGCTATTTAAAGATTAGATAACAAAGGTAGTTTGTGCAATTAAATATTAGTTGGTGGGAAAGTTTCTTCTTCCCTCATAGAATACAGTGTGGTATATATTTTCTAGAAAACTTTAAACTCTGCTACAGATGTATATCTATCTCAAAACTCTACCCTTATGGCTCTTTTTCCTTCAATGTGGTTGAAAGGAATACAATTTAATTTTTGTTCCTTCAGAGGTCTTTGTAAAGGAACTTATACCACAATTTCAGAAAAATAACCGATCTCTTGGGGTTACATCTACACTTGAGAATTCAGGTTTAATTTTCATTTCTATCTACAACACGGCAGCCTATCTTCCTCAGCTCGAATGCACATATAAATGCTACGAAGAGGCAGTGCAGAGCAGTGTTCTCCTGGGAACAGGCCCCCGTGTGGCTGCAATTGTGGTTAGCCATGCTGGCGGTCACTCTCTAGCATGTGGCCGGAGGCCAGGCTTTGACAGTATGACTCCAAGTTAGGAACTTGATAACAATATGAGTGGAGATTTTGCTTTAGAAGCATCAATTTTGTGTTCCCAGCTAAGGGCTGGGGCAATGTCTAGATTTGTGTTTTTATTTCCAATATTGAGAAACTCTTATTTCCAAAACGGAGTTAAGTCACAGCCATCCCACATGAAAAATTACTGCTTGATTTTCCCCTCAGCCAGCTGGCCACTTTCAAAGACTGTCCCAGAGGGTGCCTGCAGGTGGGACCGACATCTCTCACTGCAGCTCAGTTATAGGCCATTAGGGTTGGGTGTGTGGGGGAAGTCCTAGTTTGGAACGGACCTCACTGGGGTTGGGTGTCCAACTCTAAGTGAGCGGGGAAGCGTGAAGGAGAAGGTTTAAGCCATAGTTAACTGAGGTGCTTAAATAAGGTACGAATTCCTTTAAACCACAGCGATCTCAAAGACCCTGGCTGTCTACTCCTCTCATAAAACAGTAACAGAAGGAGCTGCAGAAAGAGGAGGAGGGGGTGGGAAGGGGGAAAGGGGAGAGGGAGGAGATATGAAGAAATGATGGTACCATTAAAGAGGTGATGTTATACATGATATCTTGCTTTTTTGTAGTTTTATCTTTATTTGTAGTTTTAAAACACTGAATTCTCCCCTAGAATTTTTTCCTAAGGAAACATTGGGCAAATGCACAAAGAGTCATGCCTAAGGTTGTTAATTTTAGCACCGTTTATAATGGCTAACCATGAGAAAACAAGTTAAGTGCCCATCCATAAAGAACTGATTAAATGAATTATGGGACATCCCTATGATGTTTTCAAATCGTTTTTCTGCCTCAGTAGACCTGAAGCATTAGAAGCATGCCGGACTATCGCTGGCTGGGCCACGGCGTGCTTCTCAGTGCTGGGAAGACATGGCAAACGAAATACACCCTCATCCCAGGCATTTCTACCACTCACTCCACCTGGGACTCCCTCTCCCAGCACTTGAAGAATCTTGGATGTAAACAGTGAAATGGTACGTAATCACGAAAAATAATAACATGGCTCTGTCTTAATTCACATGGAGCCAGGTACATGACACACTGTTGAATAATCAAGTCGCTGACAGAACAGCAGTGTCAATGATCTCACTTATGAAGGACGGTATCTGTGACAAGATGGTCTCAAATGTTAACAGCTGTTTCCTCTGGGTGCTAGATTTGGGATGTTTTACTCTCTTGTTTATACTTTCTGTATTTTTGGAATATTTTTATAATGAGTATGTATGATTTTTCTAACCAGAGAAAGAAAGAAAGCACTTACATTAACAATTAAATATGTAAAAAGAAAATTAACTACAAATCAAGTTCAGTTGTAAGAAATGTCTCTGCCTGTTAAGAGGATTTTGTGCCTCAAGCGTTGGCCTATATGTCATTATCAAGTCCATGCAATGAAATTTCAAAACAACAAAGAAATTTATATAGTCTCTCAATGTTCCCTTGGGTCACGCTGAATAAATATCTGAAATCTCTTATTTTCTATCCTTTTTTTTTTTCAGCTAGTGAATGTGTTTCTTTTTTAAAAAGAGGGAAAAATAAAGCAGATACTCTTTTTCATAAACAGCATGCATTTATCTTTTAAAAAACTCAAATGGAAATGGCCCAACATCAATTCTGAAATTATCTTTCAAATACATTAATAAGAAATTTTAAAGACATGAATAAGAAAACCAAAGTTTCATGGAATTATCTATATGTTTTCCATTAAAATGTTATTTCTAAGTAGAAAACACACACATACACACACACACACAAACCCTGCTCAGTTCAAAATATTTTACGTTCAATTGTTATTTTAGTTTTTATCCTGAAAAACAAAATTGAACAAACCAAGGTAGTGCAAGGATGATCAAAACGCAATATGAGAAACAAAAAATAAAGTCCTGGATTAGTGACTCATTACGCTTTATACTTTGTGGAGACTAATTCGTTTTGTACGGAAAAGAAAAACTTACCTCAACTTGCCCCAAGTCAAATGAAGGAATGCCAAGTGAATTGGATAAGATAGCATCAAATTTGAGAACAGGATGTTATTTGAGGGGCGTGATGACAGACAGACACAGGGAAGAGAGTTTGATAAACATGTCTTCTAAGTAAAACAGATTTTAAAAAAGTCTTACCCAGCAACTAAGACGTATTTTCCATCTGCCTGATCCTTTAACCTTTCCAGCAGGGACAAACGTACTTTAGCTTTGCTTTTGCCATAGATTTCGATTTCATCTGCAAGCAATCCTATCTCCTTGGCAAGGACGTCCACAGCTTTCGGAGTCTGTGCTCTTGAAATCTCGATATCACTGGAGGGGGTGGGGGCGAGGAACACATAAGACAAGAGTCTTCTCAGCTGAGGTGGTCGCTGCTGGAGCAAAAGCCGCCATGCACCACGCCAGCCATGAAATCAACGCACCGGCTGCACGGTCCTTGCTTCCAAGCAGGATTAAGCACGACTGCTAACAATTAACGTGCATGAGAAAACGGTACATCGCTTTAGAGAAGCAACTCTTAAAAACTCACAAAGATCCTAGAATTCTGCCCAGGTACAAGGATAACACCTATGTCATAGGAGAGAGGGCTGTATATGACAGCGTGCCCAAAGGCCTCCCGTAAGTAGAAATCCATTATAGAGCACGATGCTTTCTACGGGTCATTGCTGTATTCGTTAACCACAAATAGATGGGTTATTGCGTAATGCACCCTTAGTGGACTAGCCACACGTATCTCCTGGCTACTCAAAAATGTGGAGATGCTATTTTGTTTTATCTGTGTCCATTCTTTCCCTCTCTTTCCTATTGCAAGTCCAAATTGTATTTCAAAACATTTTATTAATTACATAATTGTAATGGACCTAACGCCTGAAGCTCGACTTCCGGCACAAGAAGTTTAGCTCAGGAACATCATTGGGCAAATCTTGAACTGCTCGATGTTCTCACCTGGCAAGATGAGAACACTGCTGCTCACCTTCCAGGAGTGCTATGAAGATCAGCACGTGCTGAACTTCTCAGGAGAGCCTTTTGGGGCTCGAGCTCAGCCTTTTTTTTTTTATTGGGGGTTCAGGCCACCTATCTGCCTGACCATCTGTTTGTGAGTAAAACCCGGCAGGCATAAGCCAGAACATGAGCGAGCAAGCATCGGAGACTTGGTTTTAAGGGCTGACATCTGCGAAGACAGCAGTCGGTCTCTTGGCTGGCCCTGGACCCCTTTGTTGGGGGCACAGCAGTCCCGGCAGGGACCTTCCCCCCTGGCGGCAGATCATTCCCTGCTCTGGTTTTTTTCTGTTGCTAATGTTGACAATCTACTCTCAGCCCCCGTACTGCCCTATAGCCTCCTCCCTGACCCCGTCGGGGTCCGACCTTGATGCAGGCGATGACGGTAAAGCCACCTCCAATCCAGACTTCTTTGACGGGAACTAGACAGCTTGGAGTGGTGGAGGCACCTTGGGACAGATGCAGGCCGAGCTCTGTGCCTCCAGCCAGGATGTCCCTTCCCCAGGTCGGCCTGCATTTTCCTGACCAGTTCTCCTCCCCTGTCCCCTTCGCTGTCCAAGCTCCTACTTCCTTTTACTTTCCTGCCTATTCTTTCTTTCTGTTTCTCTCCTGCCACAATCTCCTAAATCCAAGAGCCCACGCTTAGAAAATCTCCAATGTTTTCTCTTCACTAGCTAGAGTGACAGTGACAGCATTTTGATTTTTTGAGTGATTTATAAACGACTCAGCCCTGCCTTTCTTTCCTCAGTGGTTCTGGAAGTCAAATTTGGTTAAGCAAATAAAGCCCTTTTATTCCCGAAGTAGAATTCATTTTGATTTATACAAAGGTTGTGGTATGCCATTTGGGGGAGTCCATCTCAATTTTTTTAGATCTCTGTAAGTAGAATTTACTCATTAAAAAAAAATTAAGGTCCTATAACAACATAAGTAACTTGAAAAGTATTTTCTAAAATAGATTATAGAAATTCAGGGATATTACAAAAAACAACATTCCTTGAAATTTATGTATTAATGAACACAGGGGATGACTAAGATGTTTAGTCTATTTCAGGGATGAAAGCAGAGACTGGAGAGTTACGCCAGCCTGGTGGGTATAAGCAAACCTCAGTGCTCAAGGAAACAGAGCTCAATTCCAAAATACAACTGGTTTATCAAGTAAGAACTTAAGTCAATTATTGGAAGTTCTATTACTGACACTCTGCCTCCCAACACCTGCGATGAGATCACCTGGGGAAGAAGCTCTGGCGTTATGCCTGCCCTGGATGAAGGGGGCGGGGCCAATTCACTGAGGCGGAGACGGCCACAGAGGACTCATTATGAGGCAGGAGAATGCATCTCTCTGGCTCAGATAGCTTATCTAACTAATTACACTAAAAATGCTGAGAATATATCCTCCAGTTTGCAGTTCCAAATTTATACAGAGAGAGAATATGTAGCTTACACTTCACTAAATACCACTCTGAAGAAAACATCCATCTGGACCATCACAGAGCTTCCTGTCACACGGTAGACACTACCATGCTCTGAAGGAGGCTTAGTGCTATTTGGCTGGTTGGCCATTTACTCCTAGATTCGAAACCTACATGGCCCTCAAGACCAAGATGACATATGTTGGACATTTCTAACACTGAAAAGCATATTCCAAATATAACATTACCGTATTGTGTCATATCTAAGATATCATTATTTGATGGACTACTAAGGGGAAAAAACACTGCCATTTAATACAGGACATATCATCGATAATAAGGAAATCCTGATTTCAGAAATGAAAAAATATACACTTCAGAACTGAGTGAATATGGTAAACATGTTCATTATTTAATTTTGGGGGACTTCGATGCTAGAAAAAGTAGTGTGGCAATTTGATTGGAGAAAATTATCTACCACCAAAGCCATAATACCATGGGTCATGCCCCCTACTCGATGGATCACCCTGGATAACTAAGGCACTTGATGAGCTGACATCAGTATAAACACATCACCCAGATACCTTGGTACGGGGGAGAGGGGCTGCAGTTTCAAGCAGTGAAGTCTCCACCTCGTGTATTGCTGTTCACGAAGCCATCTCCTCCCACTACTGACCAGGTTCTTCAGTAGGGCAGAAAGGAAAACATGTTAGAAAAGAGAAAATTGTCAGGGTATGTATCTGAACTGTGCAAAGACTGTTCAGGGTTGTCACGTCATGAAAAGGACTATAAAGATGCACAACTCAAGTGAATGCCAGGAGTAATTTTATTCTCACATAATTAAATTTGTAGGTTTTTCTGAAAAAGGAAAATGTGAGATGTATGTACTATTGAAATAGTTTAAGTGTTCACTAAACACTGTGAGCGACCGTACAGAGAAGTTCATGTGATAAAGAATGAGGGCATCCTGTCACCAGCCAATGCCAACGAGAAATTTAATGCCAGTAGCCACGTGGGAAGTGGATCCTCGAGCTCCAGTCTGCCCTTCCGATGACGACAGCCCCCAGCCAACATCTTGATTTCACCATGAGAGACTCTGAGCCAGAACTAACCAGCTAGGCTGCTCCCAAATCTCTCGCCACAGAAATTGTGAGATAACGTTTGTTGTTTTAAGTTCCAGATTTGGGGGGTACTTCATTACGCAGCAATTGATAAGTAATAACGGACCCTGATTTGGGTCCCTGACCATACTTGTCATGTGACCAAAAGCAAGTAACTTAATTTTCCTAAGTCTCCATTTCCTCCTCGTCTGTCAAATGGGGATAACATTATCTTATAGGATAATTGTGACAATTAAATGACATATGCGTGCAAAGTGTTTACCACTGTGTCTGCTGAACAAAAAACATTGCAAAATGTTAGTATCTAAAGCTTCGAACTCAAAAAAATTCTCAATTAGCTGTGTCATCAAACCTGAATCCGCAGAGCTGCAGCGAGGAGACTCACGTCACCTTCTGTAATGAGACCACTGAAATGGATGCTGGGAGAACCACGTCCGAGCTTCCCTGCAAAGAATTTGAGGGGGAAAAAAAGACCTTCAGTATACTGCCTTTTATAACCAATTGCTCCTTATAAAAAGCTGGCACATCCGGTGATGTTCTCCTTCGTAACCACAGGGGTCAGGACGTGATGGCACAGCTGCAGTTAGGTCACAAGCCCCTGGCACAGCCTTGGGGCTCCTGATTGGGCCACAGACTTTAGAGTTAGACTGAATTCAAATCTTGCCTCTAGCTCTTACTAGCAATTGTGACTCTGAGCCTGTTAATTAATGGTAATATCAACCTCACAGAATTCTGTGAGACTTGAACGTGATATGGTAGGTGAAGTACTCGGCATACGGTGCGTATGTTTAAACAATACATAGGAAATAAAAGCAGTTTCACCCATTAATAGGAAGGATAAGCCCAGCCTAAGTGTTATGTGAAAGGTCAGGCTTTTTTGGATAATTTTAAAAATCTTTGTCATAAAAGTGATAGGACCAATTTTCCATCAAAACTGAGAAATTTTAGATTAATTTTAGGGATAACATGGTTTTCAAAATAAAGAGGCATTTAGAAGAATTCTGCTTTTCCTTCCTTTAGCTGGTACTTTAAGTTTATAAAAAGCAAATACACATGTAAAATACTTCGGCCTACATCTTGCCTTAGAGAAAAGAAACTTTTCTAATAGCAACTTTTTTGAATTCCTTCTTTTCTGGCCACTCTGCTTTTAAATTATCCATTTTGCTGACAGTCCTTTGTGAGAGAGAGCATAAAACACTGGAGTGTTTTGTGATGTTCTATGTCAATGTATTAGGGAGTTGGATAATCATGTCCCTCAGGTACTGTTTAAAGATTAGCAACACTTTGGTTTTATAAATCATATTCAGGCAAAAGCCAAGAATCTAGAGAATGAGAGATTTGTTTTGTTTTGTTTGAATCGCAAGAGATCTGATGTGAATGTGCTGTCCAACAACTGTAGGGAAGAAATATGCTTCTCTCATTCTTATCTCTACCTTTAAATGATGGAGAAATAGGAAAAAGCTACATTCTAGGAGCTGGTATCAACTTATAAATGCATGTTCCCAGAGCAGAATCACAAATACCCACGTGAATGAAGGCTATTTCACCTATAGAATTATACGGTGAATAATTTCTCCCATAATCTCAACCACTGCCTTGCATAAAATAGAAAGTGACTAAAACCAACAAAGATTTTAAAACATAACACAGAACGCACATAAACATAAAAATATATTTTAAACCTTAGAAAAATCTCGGAGGAACCAATATTTCTCTTTCTGAGAAACAGTTATCTGAATTTCAGTCATGCTCTTGATGTCCTACTTTCGTTTCTACTATATGATCCAATGAAAATTAAGTGTAACACTTTTTTAGTGGAAAAAATGTCAGATGGTTATCTCAAGGTGACTAGATCAGAAATTATTATTTTTTTCCGTGTACTATTTCGTATTTCACAAATTTTCTAACATGCACACTGTATTGTTTTCATAGTAGGAATTGATGCATCTTAAAACTAAATTAAAAGTTCTGAATCTGGAGAATTCGAAGCCATTAAGACGGTAACTCAGCCAATCAGGAATACGTCCTCAAGAAATTTCATGGCTAAAGAGAATAGAGAGAGGAAATCGTTATGTCCCCACCTGCCTGTGTGGGGGGAGGGCCCCACCCAAGGTTTGTCTACTCTTGCCCAGCAGGGGTCCAGTCCCAAACCAAACCCATCTTCCCACTTCTCCTAAACACTTTCCATTAACTCATGGTTCCTCCAGTGACAAGTCAATGAATCACTTTAAAAGACAGCCTTTCATGCTTAATTTCTGTTCTATTAACCAAACTTTCCACAATAAGGAAATTTAAGGCTAAAGTGTTATAATACTTCCTCTAAAAATCAGAACAGGCCTTTCTGACAGGAGCTCTTTTGAGACCTCCCTGGGACTTCTGCCAGAAAAAATGAAGTGGGAGGGACCAAGGCAAATTCTTTCGTTTTCTTGCCATCTCAGTTATATGGAAAATGTTTCAACGTTTTTTGTTTTTTTGTTTTTTTTTTTCTTTGCAATCTGGCCAAGGGCATCCTTTTGATCAGAAAAGCACTGACCATACAGACTGAACTTGAAATATTTTCTACTCCTCCAGGAGAACAAGTTACTCCAAAAAAAAAAAATTTATGTGAAGGTTTGAAAAGAGAAAGAACTAAAATTTACAAATTAGTACTGATAAAACTTTCAAAAAATGCTGGTGAATAGTTTTGAAGTAAAATATATTAACCTTGAAGGACAAATGGTAAAATCCAATAAATAAAATTTCAGTACAATTTTTCTGACAATTGTCAGGAGTTTCACTTGTAACTTAAAACATCTGAATTCTGCTATCAAATGACTATGTGTCACTTTTTTAAAAAGAATACAGCATAAGAATCTTCAGAGAAAGGAACATAATTAAAATATTAATATTAGCTTATATAAGCAGCCCTTTTGAAATTGCTAAAACCAAATTAAGAAGGAAATAATACAGACTTGTTTATTCTAAAGGGCTGAGCCTTTTTAAAAAAGTAAAAAACATGAAATATATTGTATTGAGAGCTAATTGAAATTTAAAATGAAAAACTAGCAATAATATATCTTAGAGATAGGTCCAAAACATCTAGAATTTCCTGGGGAAAAAAATTAAAGAAAAGAAGTAATAGATACAGTGGATTTTAGAATAAAGTTCAAAAGTCAGAAGCAAATATTCCAAGTGCATTAGAATAATGATTAAATTACACGCATGCCTAATTTTTACTCTAAAGCTGCCTTCCAACATTCTCAGAATTTCATCGGACCTCTTCCTTCCTTGGACTTGATTTTTCAAATATAAACTTACATTCTGCTAACATGAAGTCCGAAAGCTATTTTGTGTGTTGGCAACAATGAAGTGGAGGGAGTGAGTGGACCAACATTTACTGGCAGTGACTATGAGAAGGGGCCCTGCGCCCGAGGCGGGCATCTCATTTATCCTTCCCCACAGCCTTGCTCCCATCTTACCCAAGAGGATAATGGAGATCAGAGAGCTCGAGTTATTTGTTCAAGGTCACACAGCCTATGAGTACACTGCAGTTAAGAGTTAAAACAAACAAATCAAACTCAACTCTGAGCCAGATCAATGCTGACCCCAAATTCCATGGTCTTTCCACTGCATTATATTCCCTTCCAATCCATAAGAGGGAAGGCTCACTGTCCCCCACTGTCCCCCAGCTCATTAGCATACGCTCTGGGATACAGCCCAGGGTTCTACCCCTTCTTCGTACTAAATAGAATTATGTTTGCTTAAAATTATGCTGTAAACTACTCTGACCCACAAAGTTGCTGTTTTAATATGGTCCTCTGGACTCGAGACAAAAGACCAGTTTCTTCTTTGTCTCATTTGTTACATTAGGAAATAAGTCTTAATATTGAGGCACAATATGGTCTGGCGTTACAAAATCATAGCCCACTTCTTTTATTTGAAATATTTCTTTTAATAATAAAAAAATTAGTTAACTTTATAGCTAGAAAACTGAACATTGCCACATCCCTGTTGTAAATCTAAACATCAGAGTCATGCCACAGAAGACTGAACAGACCCAACAAGTTAGGTGTAATTGTTTTCTGAGCACTACTTCTGGGATGTCAGCCATCAGGAAAATCCCTCCAGAGATTAGATATTCAATAAAATGCCTCTATAGAATTACCTCATCATAAAATCATAAATCATCATAGCCCATCTATTGTTATAGGGAGAGGGGGGGGGTAGGGAAATTCTGTACCATTAAGATGAGTATAAAAATTTCATTATAAAACCCTGCCTTCATTCAATCACGAGTTTATTAAAAATTCTTTTGCTCTTAAGTTTAAATAAAAGCACCTTTCCTTTTAACAATGCTTGAAAAAGACTATTCGTTTGTTCAAAGCGGCTAGATTACACGAAAAGTGGGGGGAGTCTTATACCAATTTACTCGCAGATTAAATTTTCATACTAATCAAAGTTGCTAAAATTAAAACTCGGACTATTGAGAAACGTAGTGCTGTTCTAAATGGTACCAGCTGGAAAACGTTCATCCATTTTTGTCAGCGCAGCATTTTTCATCTTTGTCTTTGCCCTGTCAGTCCTGCATTTAAGCGGGAGACACGTTCAAGGAACTGTGTCTAAATCTGCAACTAACTTAAAACTGCACTCACTGTATAATTCTGAGCTTATGTTTGTTTACTCATCTAACGTTCAGTATTTACTGAGCACTTACTATGTGTCAGGCACTATTCTGGGCTCTGGGTGTTCAAAAACAACAAGAAAACTACTACTGGACCAGATAAATTTAAAATTAACTGCATCAGTCTACACACAGAATTGATAAATGAAAGCAAAATGCCTTGGTCTTCCCCACCCTGCAAGAGAATCGTTATATCGAAATGTCATGTTTTAAAGAATGTCTTTAAAAAAATAAAAGTCCTAAAGAGAAATTGATTAAAAATAAGACACGGTTTCACTAATAAAATATGTCACCTTCATATAATCATAGGACCTAAAGGGATTCCAAAAGCACATAGAAACAGACTCTCTTATCTCTAGCCAGGATTGTGCCAAAATTGTCCTAAACATATAAACTCTAATAAAACACAGCGAGTAAATATTATAGCAAAGAAACATTCATTTAAAAGAAAAGTCATAACTGACTTTCTTAGTCTAACTAGGATTCTGAGCCATGTCCACCATTTGATTTTTTCAGGAAAAAAAATTACACCCAGAAACTACATTTATTTCAAAGAAGTTATTTAGAGCATGCCTTCTATTTGTTAAAAAGAACCATTAATCCCACATTCATATTATACTGCACCTAACTGATGTATTCATCTATAATACTCTTTGTCTAAGAGCTGAGTACAGGAGCATTCTGGAAAATTCCTGAGCATCTTCCCTTGCACTCAAGCCGCCCCACCCCCTTCAGCCCTAAGGGGTTTTTGATCTGACTGGTCAATTCCAGGAGAATTGGAGGGAGGTCCAATATTTTTCTTTAAAGAGTTATATAAATTTCAGTAATTCTTTTGGTATGTATTTTCTTTTCTTTCTAAAATATTCCATACAATTAAGTTGATTGCTTTTTCACCAAAAAAATGACAAATGGTTCTCTCGAGGTGACCAGATCAGACGTTATTTTTATTTCTTCTGGATACTATTCTCTATTTCACTCTCTTTTGTGGGGCCGCCTAGAAGGTTTCGAGTTCTAGAATCCTAGTGTGGTACTGGCAGAGGTGAAGAGGGCAGAGGCCTCCACCAGTTTGGCTCAAGTTCATATCAGCTTTGGGGGGATAAAAACATTGCCCTCCAGGCCAGCTCAGGACACTCCTCCTCTCCATGCTGAAATCTGAAGGCCACAGGTAACAAGAAAGGAGACTGGACTCCCTTTGCCAGTGTCCCCTGCATACACAGGTTACTCCGGTACTGGGGAGGGAGCTGGGTGTGATCCAAAACCGACTTTGCCTCAGTGTGTCCTTCTGTGAATGAGAAAGGGACAAGCCCTTGTGGGCCTGCTCCTACCGGCCCCTGGCTGGGTACCCTGGTGCCGCCACACCCTGAGCTACTCTAACAGTGGGCCTGGTGTGGTCCAGGCGCTCCTGGATCCCTTGGCGAAATACCATCAAATATCAGATCAGCACCAAGCCTAATGCCTCTTCCATTTCTAATCCTGACGTTTTTCACACTGTTCTGAGGTGTCTCGGGGCTGGAAAAGGGGCCATCAGCACCAGGAGAAATCGGGGAAATACGAGGGTTGGTCTGCATTTCCCATGCCTCTCGGCAACTCTGTTTTCATCTGCTTTTACATGGTGAGGGGTAGCTGAGATTTCTTTGGGAGAAAGGATTCTGCCGCCTTTTAAAAGACTATGAAAACGACTACTTCTAGTTGACCTCACACATGCAGAAATGATCTGTTTTAGGTCATGACCAATGTGACGGCTTGATGCTGGACGCCAGCAGGGGACGGCAAAGAGACAGCTGCTGTGGCCGCATCTCGGCTTCTCTTCGCTGGACAATATGGTTTCCGTGGGAGTAGCCCAAAAAGTAGGCATGCCAACATTCTCATATGTTGACAATGACCAACACTTTAGGAATATACTCTTTTGAATTAGGTGAACATTTCTCATGCCGATCAAACCTATTTTTATCAGTGGCCCAGTGTCAATTTTAACACATTTACCTGACAGGAAGTCATGGGAACAGTTGAGAACAGCAGTTCCTGGTTGTATCCAAGAAAGCGGAATTTCTTCTGGCTTGGGCGAGCCTAAGACCACAATGTCAGCCTTGTGAAGCTAAAAAGAAAAACAAAAGCACCACACACCTTTTAATCTGTAGCGTCAAGATGTGAGTAACGAGCAATGACAAATGACTTCAAGGTCAGAGATAATCCCAGTTCCAGAGTTTCGTTCCACACTAAGACAGGAACAGAATCACCTACTGATTGACTAATGTAGCGCACATGACAGAACGTAACAGAACGTGAAGATCGTAGCTTAGAAGGAAAAGACTTTACCCATTTTCTTCAGGGTAGTCACTTCAGCATATAACCACGTACCATTTACATGTTTTCAGCACTCACTGCAATACCGAGAAAGGAGTTGGGACAAAGAAAGCTCTGCTGATGGAAGGGAGACTGAAAGGTACACTGGTGTGGGTGGTGTCCTCACGCAGCAGCTCAGGAAAAAAAATAGGGATCATTGTAGTGAAGCCCCTTGAAGATCTGACCAGCGCAGGGGGCCTGCTGGCCTGTACAACTGCGTCATCGAAATTAGAGCCATATGGAATTTTTACTAGATCTATGGAAGGGTTTTCAAGAGCTCGAGAAAGAATCTCATTTTCCTCAAGGCGCTGGCTAGTCTCTTGTCAAACTGCTCTTTTTTTTTTTTTTTTTTTAAGAAAAGGAAAGAATGCAACCACTACTGCAAAACACATTCATCATGTCCATCCCGTCCGGGTTTTGACAGCACAGCGCCGGAGGCACACGTCTGGTAGGAAGGTTATGTCCAGAGGTAGGATAAGAGGTTGGCTCTGAGCGCGAGCAAAGAATGACCACCCGTCCCAGTACCAACTAAGCCACCGATGACCTCCAATTGGATCCAGATGGGGAGGCGCAATGGCGAAGAAGGAATCTTAGACCCTTGCAGGAAAATGGCTACGATTGCACGTGTCCACTTGGTGCGGTCGGTATTATCTCACTGAATATCCCAAATATGTGAGGGTGGCGTTACTACACCTATCCAACAGACAAGGAAACTGAGGCTCGGTGATTGTCAGTATGTCATGGTACGTCCTTTTTCCCTAGTGGACCCAGCCTTGGAATTCTCCGAGGCAGAAAGAGAGGGGAGCGTCCCACTGTCTGCTCTCCGCGCTGAGGGCCATCCCTCCATTGCTCTTTCCACAGACTTCAATGACCGCAGACTCTGCGATCAAAGAGGAGCGGAAGACAAACACAAAACAGGCTGATCGCCGAAGAGGTCGGGGAAGAACCGAGTCTGCTCCTCAGCCTGGTGGTCCGGGGCACTGTTTAGATCAGAGGCTGCATTCGCTAAGTCTCTTAGGCATCCTGGGAAAAGAGATGGCGGTCGGGGGAAGCAAACCCGTGACAGTCCTATCTGGTTTATGAACAAAAAAGCCCTGATCTCGGGCAGCTCCAAGTCCCTGACAGAGGAGGAACACGGTAACGATTCAAACACGTGTCTTTTCAAAGGGCCGACAAAGCCAACTTCTAAAAGTTAACATCCCAGAAACATTTGATCATGCAAACAGGACAGAGTGAATTAACATTCACTGAGTGCCACTAATGAGCCGAACAGTGCTTGCTGCTTTTCAGTCCCGTACTTAAGGCACAGGAAGATGAATTCACTGAAATGGCATCTCAGTGAATCAACTATATAAATCGCATTAAAAAGACAAGTCCCAACTAAAACAACCATTCTTCCTGTATATTCACAGCCAATTATACCAGTAATCTAGTGTGTTAATGCCACACGTGTTCTCTATAGATAGATCTGAAAAGCAGCTAGACCTCAGGGTGATGTTATATTTCGGGGAAAAGAATGTTCTTATGGGAAGAGGATTTTACACATATCTGAATAAGAAAACGTACTTCTTCATTTACCTATACCACTGCGGATATTCATTCAGAGAAAGTCTCAAGAGAAACATAAATGTTTAACACTTGTTGACAATGATCAGCAGATAAGAAACACCATTTTGCCGTATTTTCATGCACAATAGCAGCAGAAACAGAACATGTTAAAACACCTATAAAAAGCTAATATGTACAAGACTGAAATGTTCATTTTGGAAAAAGCCGGGGATCACAGGTTCACATAAGTCCCCTAAGAACACTCAGTTTCTTACACATGGCATCTTTGATACAATCTATTCTTTTCATTACCTATAAATCTCAGAAGTCTCATTCCGACCCCTCAACTCTGGACTGAAACAAAACTAAAGTGGGCTGTGCTAATAAGTGACTGAGAGACAGTCGATCCCACAGAGAAAAGACAAAAATCAGCAATGATCGCATCCTAGCTGCTAATTCTTTCTGGAAGGGAAAAGTGCAAGATGCTTAAATCCATAAATAACCCACTGAGGACCAGGGAAGATTTTATTGAGCTAAAATTCAAGGAGAATTATCGTCTCACTGGCAGTTTCTACTTTCCTCCTTCCAAATGGGAAAGACCCTGGCCAGAACCTGGCCTGAAACTTTACCTCATAACAAAATATTGCTTTCTCTGCTGAGACTTGAGTGGAGGCAGCTTAAAGAGAACCGCCCACTCCCCAGGCATAAGACCAAATGTTAAAACAATAGCAAGACATGGACACGTAGCCATTTAACGTGGAGCACGTGGGAGTCCTATAGAGTTTAGAGGGGAGAGGGAGGAAAGATGTGATTTGCAAAGTTCGAAGGAACGTCATCATTTTGTATTTAGCAAACAAAATGCATTGAAAAATTTAAACTACAGAAAGTATAGCCTTAGCCTTCTGGCTAGAAGACAGAATTTATCTTCTATCAACGTGTTTCGAAAGGGTACCTGTATTTAAGAATCTCAGGTATGAGATTTGTGTATATTGTATACCAAAAGTTGGGATGGGTTTTAAAAAAAAGGTTGAGAGGTATTTTTGAAGAACTGTGCTTTATATTCCTGAGACCTATGAAACCTGTTTCTATACCTTTCAAAATTATCTACATAGTACAGAAAATAAAGTTCAAAATGAAGAACAGTACTTTACAAAATCAACAACAGGTGCTTTCTCCAGCAAAAACACACTTCTAAACTTACAATTGCTAAAGAGGATAAAAGCGATCCAGCTTTCTTTAGCGAACACACTCATTCACCTGCCATCTCTCGAGTGCCACTTGGGGCAAACATTGAGAATGCTGAGGATTCAAAAATAAAACTCCCTGTCTACAGAGTTTAGAGCTGGGATCTTCAAGATGGCGAAGCATGAGAGAGAGAGAGAAAGATGGAGAAGCACAGGGCAAACCAATGAGATGGGAAAAGAAAAGATCGAACACTTGAATTCTACTTATTTTGCCCACAAAGTTGGGAAAAAAGTTTTACTAGTATTTAATAGCTGGATCGACATCCTGTTCTTGCTCAGTCAGTCCCTGTGTGTCATCTGCGCAGCTGTCACACACAGAAAGTACAGGGAGGACTCCGGAGGAAGGGAGGTGGCCCCTTACTTGTTCTTCCACTTTCAATGAATGGGGACACAATGAGCCTGATTAAGTGGCTTTATAGGTCACATTATCTCCCACAGAAGGTTCTTCACAGTGCTTCATAGTGACAGGGAGTACCTGTGAAATTTTCTGTGGCACGGAGGTTCCTTGACTATCTCATGGCAAAGTCCTAAAAAGAGTTAGGCGTTTTTCTTTTTTAGGAAATGTCTCGTTTCTTTCCCTAAAACCAAATTTGCTGACCTTTTCTTGATAATAGACAAGTAGCTGTCAGACTAGGCTACTTTCTTCGTCCTCACATCATCACACGTTTTAGGAAGATTACTCTGGAAGCTGGGCGGACATTGGACCGGAGCGGGTGACAAGGAAGGCAGGAGACTGAAACACGCAAGAGGAGACATCTGGGAGGAAGCTGGGTGCCATGAGCCTGGAACTGGGGAAGGCCAGGGAGGCTGGGGCTGCCGGTGGGAGCTGTCAGCACATAGCTGTAGTTAAAACCAGCAGTTTGGATAAGATCTCCAAGGGAGATCTGGGGAGGACTGTCCTAAATAGTAAGAGAAGAGGAACAATGGACTTGACAGTGGTGTGGCTCAGGAGGTAGGAAAGAGGGACGGTATTTTAAGGAAGGCAAAGGAGAAAGGGTGTGGCTGACAGGCTTGAATGACATCCAAAGGCTAAAAGCGAAAAAACCCATTTTTGGCAATTAGGAATTAATCAGTGACTTTACTACAGAAAACCCCACTTCATGCGCAGCAAGTGATCTCATCCTGGGAAAATCTTCCTTTCAGGAATTGGGTATGTTTCTTTTTTCTACTGTCAACCATGATCAGAACAGATTATTGGCCTGTTATCTATGGTTATTTTATAAATCAGAATGACTACAAGCCAAATGAACAATTAGGGATTATGATTACAGCACTTGCGGACCAATTTTTCCCCTAAAGGATAATAAATGACCTTTTTTTTTCCTAGAGGTTCCTACATTCACCTCTTACATCATCATTCGATGTATTTACTGCTCAGTGTATGATAAAAGAATATCACAGATACTTGGTTGTGTCCAACGTTATAGAAAAGATAATTAGTTCATCTTTAAATGACCCTGATACTCACATAAGTTATGACAAACGATAAAATGAAAATGTAACCTCAAATCTAGTAATGGATATATTTCGGATGATTCATCAAAAATAATTCTCTTCCTTATAGAAAAATAAAATTAAAAAGTCTGAGAGACAGAGAGACTACGTGTGTGTGGGGAGGGGCAGGGGGTGGAAAGGAATCTACTATGACAAAGACTCAGAAGCACGCAGCACAAAAACGAGGAAATGGCCAAGTGACAGTTCCCAGAGCAATGCTTAGCAAGCCACATGTCACAGAGGCATGGCAGCCTTCATGATCTGCATTTATGCTATTAACCACATAGTTTATGATTTTTTAAAATTTATTTTCATTTTAACTTTTCAATTTTTCAATTACGGTTGACATTTAATATTATATTAGTTTCAGGTGTATGGTATGGTGGTTAGACATTTCTATAACTTAAGAAGTGATCCCCTCAATAAGTCAGAGACCCACCTGGGTTGTCTACAGCACGTGAATGCA